CCCACAAATAGCCAGAACGCAACTGGTTGATTTATTTGGAGGATTGTTGTCCAGAAATTCTCTTTTCTTTCCCCAATAGTGTCACAGGATCTTTAACCTCCATTGAACATGCAGACCGGGTGTGTGCTTTCATTAACTGACCCAGTGTTCGACAGTAAGCTGACTTTATGATTGTTTCCCTCAACGCTGTCCATTCAAATGAGATTCGAGTGAAATTCAAAGAGCAAATGGAAATCTCTCGGTAGGTTTGACAACAGCTTGCAATTAATTTGTGCAGACTGAGTCTTGGATGTGTCACACTCAGAGACAGATGGTCTAAAGATGAGCTGTCTGTGAAGCCCAATTCTGCTCAGCCTCGCTCCCCGTAACTCGGAGACTTCTCTTCCGGTCGGTCAGTCGGTCACAGACTCACGGCTGGGTCAGAGAGCTCTGGGGTTTGAGCTCACGGTGCAGACGGGCTCAGTATTGATTGCCTTGTGGAAGCCCCTGTCCTTTGGATGAGACGTTAAATTTCGGATCATACTGAATGGAACTCTCTCCCTCTATCCCCTCTGCCTCGCCCCTCCTTCCCCATCTTCAGATCGCACCTGAAGACCTTCCCCTTCGACTGTGCTTAGGGTCACCTCCCCTCGGCTTGGCTCCGTGCTCCACCACTGCGTGAAGGGGGCGCCGTGTAAAGTTGTTGTTGACTGTTTTCAGGTGAACTTTAAAGATGCTGTCACACTATTAGAAAAGAGAAGGGAGCTTCTCCCGGGGTCCTGGCCGACAATCCTCAGGACTTATTGATCAGTTGCCTCACGGCTGTTTTTCGGGGGGGTCTTTACAACAAGCAAATGGCTGCTGGGTTTGCCTACACAAAACAGTCACTACACTTGACAGTCATTTACACATGAACAGATTTGAAATGTGATAAGACTGCAAACGATCTTTCTCTTCTCTCAACATCCGGCACCAATCCCTGTCCTACCGCATAACAACAGCTAAGCATCTTGTCTCAGAAACGGCAGGTTTTATGCTTCTCGGTCCTCACAAACACTCGAGGATCAAGTTCAGTTTGTTCAGAGCCTGACAAGAGTAAACCAGCCTGGGAGATCATTAATTAGCTTCTCATCACTTGTGAAGTGCTAATTGAATTATGAAATTAGTTGTGGCAACGACAGGCATTCAGTAGTTCTTCTCAAAGCCTTTTGATCGCTAACACTCTTATATATTTCAGCCACAAAATATACAGTCAGTTCGCTTCGCAGTATATTCCGTGAAGCGCTTTGAGACGTCTCAACGGCATGAGAAGGCGCTCTATTAAAATGCGAGGAATATTATTAAGATAAGGAAGGACTTTGCCACTTGCATATGATGTTAGCAATTTCATACGTCAATGTCTAATGATAGGATTTTTCACAAAAGAAAATTCGTCATAACACCGGCTAATGACCTGTTGCTGCCTGACCCACTCGCTCTCCATCTCTCTAATGAGACCCCGTTTTCACCCTGAAACTTGACTGATTAAAGCCCGAGTCTGTGCCTAACAGAAAGGATTCTAATATCGGAGAAAGTCGGGCGGAGAATTTCCCCCATTCATCATATCTCTGCTCTCAGCACAGGTCCAGCCACTTGTTAAAATATAACAGCCTACGAATCTAGTCATGGAACCATAGACTCCCACAGCACAGAAGGAGACCATTCGGCCCATTGTGTCTGCGCCGGCTCTTTGAAAGAGCTACCAACTAGTCCCACTCTCCCCGCTCCCCCCACTCTTACCCAACTAATCCCACTCCCCCACTCTTACCCCAACTAGCCTCACTTCCCCACTCTTACCCCAGCTAGCCCCACTCCCCCCTCTTACCCCAACTAGCCCCCCCCCCTCTTACCCCAACTAATGCCACTCCCCCACTCTTATCCCAACTAGTCCCACTCTCCCTCTCTTACTCCAACTAGCCCCACTCCCCCCCTCTTACCCCAACTAGCCCACTCCCCCCTTACCCCAACTAGTCCCACTCCCCCACTCTTACCCCAACTAGTCCACTCCCCCACTTACCCCAACTAGTCCCCACTCCCCCTCTCTTACCCCACCCTAATAGCCCTGCACGTTTTTCCTTTTCAGGTACCTATCCAATTCCCTTTTGAAAGCTATTATCATATCTGCTTCCACCCCCCCCCCCCCACCCCTTTTAGTCTACATGGAACTTTCCCCACCAGGAGATGGAGTGGTGAGATCCAGGACAGGACAGGGTGTGACCGGGCTGGACAAGCTTAATAAGACAAATGGCCTTTTCTCCATCCCTGCCTTCTGCTCTCTGCTGTCTTCTGGTTGGATTTAGCTTTCTCTACTGGCTACCAGTGTCACTGCAGCCCTGTAACAGGGCGCTTGGACCCCAGCGGGACAGCGTTCCCGAGTCTGGGGAAAAGAGGGAAACACACTTCCATCCATCGGGCATTGGCTCAGTTGGTAACACTCACAGTTTGGTTCAGAAGTCTGTAGGTTCCAGCCCTCCTTGGGGATTTGTACTCCCGCCTAATGCAGTGTTCTCCGGAATTAGGTGAGCAGGAGGATTCCCTCCAGCGAGCGAAAGAGAGAGGGGGGGTGGGGGGAGGGGGAGAGAGAGAGAGAGCGCGCCTTGTATTCCAACAATCTATCTCTGGGATTGCCACATGTAGGTGAGATACATGGAATTTTCAGCTTTTTTGGGGGTTTGGAGCCTCTTAAGCAATGGTGACGGGTTTCCGCACGTGATAGACACCCGGCTGGGCAAATAGAAAGTGTGCGAGTGCTTTGTTCCTTCCTCGCCTCCCTTCAAATAACACAATTATTATTATTATTAATTATAAAATAATTGTCTAGTTTGTCTGTTTTTTTTCCTGCCCGCAAACAGGCAAGGTGCGTACTCTGTGAGCCTCTACCGTGTCCTGAAATATCTTTTAGCGCTTTAATTAAAATGCCACCGTCAGCCGTGCTAATCTCCGAACACAGTGGCATGGTCTGAGATGTAATTAAAGTTTGGCGAGCAGCAGGGAGCGTGTTATTAAAGGACATTGTCCTGCAAGCAAACCGGCACTGGTGGCTTCAGAGGAGACACACACAGGTTAGCGTATGGTGGGGGTGGGGTGGGGACTAATTAAAGCGTTACCTGTAGTCGACAGCAGTGCAGACCCGAGACACTGAGTCCCTGGTGAAGCAGGATAACAAGCGGTATTGGCTTCTTCTCCGCTTATTGATGCCTTTTATTCTCTTGTGTTTCGGCCACAAAGCATAGAGTCACTTCACTTTACAGTGTATCCTGTGAGGCGCTTTGAGACGTCTCAACAAAGCGATAAGACGCTGTATCAAAGGCAAGGATTATTACTATTGATGGCCAGCCGGGGCAGGTGCTCTCTGATAGCTCCTCCTCACTGCAGCTCAGCACGTTCACCCTTCAGCCCCACAATCCCAGGGCTGGCAAATTGCTGGGGCGGGAAATGGGAATGTAGCATGTGTGTGTGCGTGTGTGTGTCCGTGTGTGTGCGCGTGTGCGCGCGCGCGGCGTGTGTGCAGTAGGGGACGCTCTTGCAGTGACCAGCGGCTGGACTTGCCCTGGGAGTGCTGAAGGGACAGCCCTGAGGGAAGTCAAAGCTGTGACACTGGAGGCTCAAAGCGCTTCACAGAATACGCCGTGAAGCGTAGTGACTGTATATTTTGTAGGGCAAAACACGGCAGCCAATTGCGCACAGCAGCGTCCACCACAGACAGTCGTGGCTTGAGTTTTGAGTGATTTAAACCACAAAATACGCAGTCACTCGACTTTAAAGTAAAGTCCGTGAAGCGCTTTGAGACGTCTCAATGACGTGATAAGGCGCTGTATCAAAAGCAAGGATTATTATTGTTGTTATTATTACAGGTTCCACATCAATGCCTGAGGCAGTAATGGGCTGGGGGGGAAGGAAGGGGGTGTATAATCATATAACAGAGCATTTGATGTGCTGTGTGGCTGCGGGAGAGACAGAGAGACGCTGACTGCTGAATAATCGAGTTTCAGTGAGAAACTAAATTACTCTTTAGGATAATAATATTCCCCGCGCTCCTGTCAAAGCCGCGTGCGTTTCTCCTTTAAAACAAAACAAATTCAATCTTATACGATGCAATAAACAGAAATAAATCGGGCTGTGTGACTGACAGGAATAGCCGGGATAAGGAGCATTGGTGTATTTCAAGTAAAAACGATTGATTAATTGATTGATTCATTGATTGATTGATTGATTTTTTCCTTCCAAAATACAACTCATCATTTTTAACAAAAAAAATAACGAAAACTCGCAGACAGATTTGCATTATTTTTACTTTCAAATCAAGACCCACGTAGGTTGGTTTGTTGGTTGGTTGGTTGGTCGGTACAGGGACGGGACGCAGGACATGACATTACTTGGGGTTGGGGTGGGTGGGTGGGTGGGGAGAGGGGATGGAGGGAAAGCTCCCACCGAGGTGGGGGCTCAGTTATCAACAACACAACACAAACCACAAACCCAACGCTGGTATTGGAGCTCAAGAGTGGTTCACATGCCATAGAAACCACACTTTACAGCAGATAAGTTACAAAAACAAGTCTCTCTCTGTCTTTATACATTACACTCGCTTTGATGGACATCACAGCTGGTTAGTTTGCAGGTTATTTCTGCACATGCATTATATTATCACCCGCCATCCCAACCTCTCCAATCTCTCCCCCTCTCTTTCCCTGTGTCTCCCCCCACCCCACTCCTCCCCTCTCCCTTTCCTAGGGTTCTTCCGAAAAGGAATCCAAACGCTTCTCCCAGTTCCCAGTCGTCAACAGTATATATATATATTTTACACACACACACACACATTTTTTGGGGGTGTGTTTTGTGTTTTCATGCAAACGACAACAAAAAAAAAGCCTTTATTGTCAGCCTTACCCTCATTCTCTCTCTCTCTCTCTCTCTCTCTCTCTCACTCACTCACTCACTCACTCACACTCACTCACTCACTCACTCACTCACTCATTCACTCACTCTCACTCGCATGCAAAGGGCAACAAGTTCAGTTCAAGTCAACCCGCCAATATAGACTCCGTCCCAACAGCCTCCCATCCCATCCCATTCCATTCCCAATTCTAGGAACTTTTTCTCACACACTTCCTCTCTCTCTCTCTCTCTGTCTCTCTTCCCTCTTCCAGTCGTTTCTCTCTTCCTTCTCCTCCTCCTCCTCCTCCTCGGCGGTTGGACAAGCGGTAATAACAGCCCCCAAAGCCCCCTGGAGATGAGTGGCTCCCAACTTGGGGATGAGGGGCTGGGCAGCTGGGAGGTGGGGGTGGTGGGGGGGGTCCCCTGATGCCGCCAAGAGAAGGTACAAAGCGTCTTGTGGACGGGCAATGGTGGGTCGGGAGAAGAGAGCGTGTTCCCCGCCTAATACAAGCCCACAATCACAGCCTCCACGTCCTTAGAGGGTCTCCTGTCCTTGACCAGGAAGTTGATCATGCTCTCAGACTTGATCATGAGGTTGCAGCCCAAGAAGAAGATGCCAAAGATGACAGTCAGGGAGAGGACGCAGAGCACCGCGATCTGCACCACCCGCATGATGAAGAGTTTCTGTTCGTCTTGGCTCGTGTTCAGAGAGCCATCAGACACCACAGAGGCAGTTTGGTTACAGCAACCCAACACCATCCCCAGGTCGGGGCTCCTGCTGGCGTAAAGACCTTCGTCCATCATAGTCTGGTTGAAGAAAGTAGAATTCATCTTCTTCCCAAAGTCCCAACCCCAACAAACAAACAAACAAACAAACCAAACAAAAAATCCCAACAGAACAGAAATCCCCTGTGAAGTATTAAGGAATTTTACCCCTTCAGATAAATTGGAAGAATTCAACAAAAGGCGATGGATGATGTTTCTCTCAGTTCGAGTGTTGGTGGAGTCACATTCTTCACAGAGGTGAAGATTTCATGATTCAGTCGAGATCTGCACTCACATCCCAACAGGTGATGCTCTCTCTCTCTGTCTTTCTTTCTTTCTTTCTTTCTTTCTTTCTTTCTTTCTTTCTTTCTTTCTTTCTTTCTTTCTTTCTTTCTTTCTTTCTTTCTTTCTTTCTTTCTTTCTTTCTTTCTTTCTTTCTTTCTTTCTTTCTTTTTTTCTTTCTTCCTCTGTCTCTTTCTCTGTCTCCTTCTTTTTCCCTTGATTTATTTTATTGCTCTCTCACTCACTCTCTCCTCCTTCCTCCCCCCCCCCCTCTCTCTCTCTCTCCTCTCTCTCTCCTCCTACTCAAAGAAAATCTTCTCTCTCTCTCTTCCTCGAGACTTTTGTCCATTGCCGAGACTCACTGCGTGGCTTATAAACCAAACCCCTGGAGCCAACCAACAGGAGGAAGAGAGAGAGAGAGAGAGAAACACACACACACACACACACACAGCAATAGAACAGAGAGGAAGATCACACACCAGAAAAATGGACCACTTTCATCATTAAATCTTTTAATTTCTTTTTAAAATATCTCGGAAAAAAAACACCCTCAATTTGTTTTAATTTTAAAATATCATTCATTTACCTTATTTACAACCCCCACCCCACCCCCAACCCCTCACCCCCTCACACACACACACAATACATTCTTCCACATCACCAATATCCATCCCCTGGTCTTTCTCTCTCTCTGTCTCTCCTCTCCTCAATCTCATCACATGGAAACACTCACAGAGCAGGGAGTGTAAACAGCTAATCTCTCCTCATCTCACTTTCACTCAGTCACAGCAATGCAAATAGATGCTTTCTTTTATGTAACATAATAACACGACATTATAATAGTTATAAATTCAGTCCTCACCCTTCTCTTCCCATATCAAAACATGCTTCCAATAAAAAAAAATTAGTGGTGGGGGTAAACTAGTGAGAACCTCACATCTGTTGGGTGAATGGACACCAAATTAAAAATACATTAATGCTCCAAAGCAATTTTTTAAAAACATACACACAAAAAAAACTCCTTAAAATTATATTAAAATCTGAGAGGCGACGCCCAGAAACAGAGACAAGTTATGGTGTTTCTCAATTGTCCCTGGAGCAGATTTCTGTACTGTTTAGGGAGATCTTTTGACGTGAAAGGCGCTATATATATATATATATATATATATCAATGTCAATTTGTTGTTGTTAATAATAAATAATCCTTGCATTTGATACAGCGCCGGATCACATCTTCAAGACGTCTCAAAGCGCTTCACAGAAGATACTGTAAAGTGAATTGACTGTATATTTTGTGTTGCAGGATATTAAAGTGTTCGGGGAACAGGCAGGACAGGACCTCTGTTTAATGTCTCATCTGAAAACGCAATGGAGCATCAGCTTGGGCTGAGCGTTTAAACGTGGGGAAGTTTTGGGGGCGCGTGGGTGGAGGGAAAGGGTTGGTAGGGCAGCCCTGATGTCTGTTTGAGAGTCTCACTCAGCCGCCATTAGAGATGTAGAGGCCATTCAGCCCCTCGAGCCTGTTCCGCCATGCATTCGCCATGGCTGATCTGTACCTCCAGTCCAAATAACCCGCCCTTGCCCAGTATCCCTCGATAGCCGGACCTTCTCGACGCTGATGCTAAAACGCCTCAACCGCTTACTGAGACCTCAGCAGCAGTCCCTGAAGGCCACGCGGAGGGTGCGGAATGTCACCAGGTGTGTGTGTGTGTGTGTGTGTGTGTGTGTGTGTGACCGGGAAGGGATGCTCAGGGTTAGGGTAATCGCCCCGATGGGGCTCTGCAGCGTTCACCTGGGGACCGCAGCTCAGATTCGTGGACCGCAGCGCCCTCCAGTGGACTTCACGGGTAATGGCAGAGGACCACTTGGGTCGGGGTGAGGGTCTGAATCTCTCTGCCCTGTTCTCTGGCCCAAACCCAAGCCCCACCCCGCGGCCAATTGAAAGCACAGCTGCTGCTCATGTCAGCTCCCCCGGCACCGCCTGAGCTCTGCTATCACACACTGAAAGCACTCCTGACCTCAAGTTCCTATTTTCTCTTTATAATAATAATCCTCGCATTTGATATAGCGCTTTTCACGTGGGGAGGACGTCCCAAAGCGCTTCACAGAACACACTGTAAAGTGAATTGACTGTATATTTGTGGGCGAACGCGGCGGCCAATTGCGCACAGCAATGTCCCACAAACAGTCGTAGATTAAAAATGACCAATTTATTATTGTTTTGGGTTTTGGAGGGATTATTATTAGGCTCTGTGTGGAGTAAGGAAACTTGTCCGAGGTTTGGCCCTCTGCCTGGAATTGAACTCAGGTCTCTCACTTACAAAGCGAGTGCTCTGACCACTGAGCTACAGGACTCTTTCACTGTCACCAACATATTCCTGTGCAAGTGGGCTGTGCGAGTGTGTCAGGAGCTGTGAATCGGTGTGCAAAATGTGTAGCTGTGAATGAGTGTGTGTGTGTGTGAGTAGCTGTGAGTGAGTGTGTGAGTGAGTGTGTGTGAGTAGCTGTGAGGGAGTGTGCAAGCATCTGTGAGTGTGTAAGTGGCTGTGAGTGACCGGGTGGAAGCGATTGTGCTGCCGGTTGCGGACAGCAGGCGGCGTTGGGGAGTCGGGACTCTCTCACTGTGAGTGACTGTGTGGGTGTGTGTGTGCGTCAGACGCTGTCAGTGTCTCAGTGACTCCTCGGGTGTGTTGCTGTGTGTGTGTCCGACTCCTGGCTCCTCTCGCCCTCTCTCGCCCTCTGCTCTGTGATGGAAGCTGTCAGGCTGCCCGACCTCGGGCGGCTTGTGCTGCTCGTTGCCTTGTCGGCTGCCGCAGTGCGGGGTAAGTTAAGTGTCAGTGTCTGCGTTGGGGGCTGAGTTTCACTTTATCCCAGGACTGGACACTCTTCCAAACCCTGGAACACTCCCGCTCTCCCTCCTCCGCCTTGCCTCCTTCTTCGGGGGTCGCGCCCGAAGCCCTTCCTCTTTGACCCGTGCCTACGTTCACCTCCGCCCAGCCCGGCATCGTGCCTCCGTGACTGTTGAGCCCTCTGGGGCGCAACCGTGGGTGAGGCACACTGCGCAAATACAAGTTGTTGTTGCTGTGCAGCGTGTAGAGTAACGGAGCGAGAGAAGCGAGCGGGCAGCCTGGCTCACTTGGTAGCCGGTCTCGCTTCTGAGACAGAAGGTTGCGGTTTCATAGTCCCACGTCAGGGCTTTGAGCTCCCAGTCCAGGCTGACTCTCCAGGGCTGGGCTGGGGTTCAGTGACACTACATTCGGAGACGAGGCAGAGTGTGCACAGGGGAGCGGATAGGTTCAAGCAGGAAATTCCTTCAAACGCAGATCAGATCGGTTTTGTTTCAGGTCGTGTCACGATGGGATACAGTAGTACATAGGTAACAAAAACAGACGTGGCTGTGAGCGCTCAGCGGGTCAGGCAGCATCTCTATGGAGAAAGGAAAGTCAGTCGACGTTTCGGGTCCACGACCCTTCGTCAGAACGACCCTTGTACAATACATAGGTAGTTCAGGACACATGTGCCTGCGACCGACCGCCAGGAAGGTGGAAGGCGAACAAGATGGACTTTGGTCTCTTTTTTTTGTCTTGTATTTCTTATGTTCTTATATGTTATGTTCTTACGTTCATGTCAGTGCTAATCCCGCTGTGGTTCCGGAGCTACGACTTACTCTGTTTACACTAAGTGGTGACCGAGCTCTGAAGCCAGAAGCCGTGTGCGTGAGGCTGGCTCAGAGCGAAGGCAGGCTGTGGCTTGTCTGGAAACAGGAATCAGTACCCTGCAGGGAAGTTGGGACAGAAAAAATGCCGTCAAACACGAGGCGAAACCTCAGCCTCTCGTCCCCTGCTTTTGTTCCACAAAAGTCTGCTTGATCTGAGCTCCATCCAGCCAGGCTTACACTCAGTTGGCCACAGATCCACAATCGCGAAAGATTGACCAGCCCTGTCTGGTGCTAATAACAATAATACCAGTAATTATCCTTGCATTTGATATAGTGCCTTATCACGTCGTGGAGTGGAGTGGAGTGACTGTATTTGTGGGTGAAACGCAGCAGCCAATTGCGCACAGCAGCGTCCCCGCTCAGTCGTAGATCGAGTGATCAATTTTTTAAAAACATTATTCACGTAAAGCGATCCGCTAATCGACTAACAACCAGGTAACCGGGTTCCTACTGACTGTTACGTAAACGGTGGAGGGTGTGTGTGTGTGTGTGTGTGTGTGTGTGTGTGGAGTAAGGAAACTTGCCTAAGGTTTCGTCCCACCCGGGAATCGAACCGGGGTCCTCTCGCTTGTGAGGCGAGCGGTGTTAACCACTGCCCTGCGGGACTTCGTAAATGGCTCATTCTCTTCAGGCTGTGCGGGTTTGCCTGCAATTACACGGTCACTACGCTTGACAGCAAAATCCAATGCGAAGCGAAGCAAGCTCTTTGAGATGCTTAGTCGCTCTCGGGGGGTTGGATTAAAAGCCAGCGTTGTTGTTGTCGCTGTCGTCGGCCGGCACCGGTGAGGGAGGGTGGGGGGTGAGGGAGGGTGGGGGGGGGGCGTTGCTGACCGGGGATTTAGTCTCTAACACCAGCTCTCGCTGTTTGACTCAGGAAGTGACAACATGTGTGCTGCGCGAGGTGCGAGCTCGTGCTTCGAGTGTCTGCAGATCGAGCCGAGCTGTGCTTGGTGCTCCCAGGAGGTAAGAGCGGACGTGGGCAGCAGAGATTGTGTGTGGGTGTGTGGGTGGGGTGGGGTGGGGTGGGGGGGGGGTGGGAGCCGGGGGTGTGGGATAATGGTGAACGCTCACCCCGGGCTGCTATCCTGCGCCTTTCCTCTTCGAGAAAAAAAAATTGACGGCTGCCGTGCGCAATTGGCTGCCACGTTCGGCCCGACAAAACCCGCAGTCACTACACTTTACAGTGCGTCCCGTGAGGCGCTTTGAGACGTCTCGATGACGGGATGGAGCGCTGCGCCGAATGCCAGGATTATACTACACCCACTCGCCCTCCCTCAGGAGAATGAAGGGGTTTTGGGATTGGATTTCAGGATTTCGGAGCTGCGGCCATTCGCTGTGACCTGGAGCAGAACTTAGTGGAAAAGAATTGCGGGAAGGAATTCATTGAATTCCCCCAAAGCTCCATCACCATTCAGCGCAACGACCCTCTCAGCGAAGAGACCTCGAGTCAAGACGGCCAACAGTTTGTGCAGCTCGCGCCCCAGGAGATAGCCCTGAAACTGCGGAGAGGTATGGATAACCAGCCCAGCCCCCAGCCCAGCCCTCGCACAGCCCCCAGCCCTCGCCCAGCCCCCAGCCCTCGCCCAGCCCCCAGCCCTCGCCCAGCCCCCAGCCCCCAGCCCAGCCCTTGCCCAGCCCCCAGCCCAGCTCCCAGCCCCCAGCCCAGCCCTTGCCCAGCTCCCAGCCCAACCCAGGTCTCACCCAGCTCCCAGCCCAGCCCTCCCCCAGCCCAGCCCCCAGCCCAGCCCTCGTCCAGCTGCCAGCCAGCTCAGTGACCGCTCATGTACTCATGTGCTCAGTGGTTAGAGCCCTCGCCTTGCAAGTGAGAGGACCCGGGTTCGATTCCCGGGCAGGTCAGGGCAAAACATTGGGCAAGTTTCCTTACTCCACACACACACACACAGGCCTCTGTTTACCAGCAGTAAGTAGGAACCCGGTTGTTAGTTGATTGGTGGATCGCTTTCCGGGGGTAATAATCCCTTCAAACAAAAACTTTGGGTCACTCAATCCACAGCTGTTTGTGGGACGCTGATTTGTGCTATTGGCATTTCACCCACAAAATATACAGTCACTCCACTTTACAGCATATCCTGCGAAGCGCTTTGAGACGTCTTAATGACGCGATGAGGCGCTGCATCAAGAATTGAAGAATTACAGGCCCGATGGGCTAAAAGTGTCTGATTGCGTAAACCCGTGCACAGTGAGATTGTCTTCAGCAGGAAACACCAAGAAAATGTGTACAAGATACAGAACAACGTCCCCCGCTCAGGCAGAGGGACAACACACACTATCCCAAGCTCTGTGTCCTGCACTGTGTGTATACCCTCAAATATAGTTTCCCGATCTGTCTGCCCTGATCAGTCCTCGCTCGGTGGGTTTGGGTAGAAACCGCCTATAAGCAGAAATTTATTTTATAAATATCGCCGTCCAGGAAACGGGAAAACCACATACACATTTCTGGTAGTGAAGTAGATAGTAGATAGCGGGGAACACTGTCTGGTGAAGTGAGATATGCACAGGCTGACACGCTCACACAATGAAGCTATCACTTGCCATGCGAGTGTGTCCCACAGTCCCTCCGCCTCGTCCCCCAACCCCCCCTCCTGACCTCGTTCAAGACCCTCCTCTTCAACCTCGCCCTCCTACCCCTACTCTCCCTAATCCCCCCCCCCAGCTGACGCAAAAGGTGCTGTGTAACTGTGTTGTTGTTGATGTCTGGCAGGGGATTCCAAGTCCTTCACGGTGCAGATCAGGCAGGTGGAGGATTACCCGATGGATATCTATTACCTGATGGATCTCTCGCTCTCCATGGATGACGACTTGAGTAACATCCAACACCTGGGCTCCCTCCTGGCCAGCGAGTTGGCCAAGATCACCAGCAACCTGAAGCTGGGCTTCGGGGCCTTTGTGGACAAGCCCATCTCTCCCTACATCTACATGGCGTCAGAGGAGGCTATCCGCAACCCGTGCTCCTTGTAAGTGATGCGAGCCCCGGGTGTAACGGGGAGAGGCGGGGGGAGGGGAGGGGGGGGTTCCCCAGTATTGCAGGACTCAGGGGCCCCCGAGTTTGGGTGTGAACAAAGCCACAATCCTCGACTGTTTGCAGGGTCGCTACTGTGCGCAATCGTCTGCCGCATTTCGCCCACAAAATACACAGTCACTACACTTTACGGTATATCCCGAGAAGCGTTTTTGAGACGTCTCGAACGAGAGAGAGAGTGAGAGACCCTTGAGACAAGCTGTGCTTGTGATTGTCGTTGCTGAAGGTTACAAAGCACCTGCTTGCCTGTGTTCGGGTTTAAGCACGTGTTGACGCTGACGAAGGAAGTGCAGAGGTTCAATGAGGAGGTGAAGAAGCAGATCGTCTCCAGGAATGTCGACTCTCCTGAGGGAGGGATGGACGCCATCCTGCAGGCCTCTGTGTGTCAGGTGAGTGAGGTGCGAATGTCCCAGCCGGAGACCGTGGTGTTGGTGCTGAGGCGTAGGAGGAAGGGAAGAGCGAGGGAGGAAGGAGAGGGTGGGAGGAAAGGAAGAGCGAGGAAGGAAGGAGAGGGTGGGAGGAAGGGAAGAGCGAGGGAGGAAGGAGAGGGTGGGAGGAAGGGAAGAGCGAGGGAGGAAGGAGGGGGTGGGAGGAAGACATATAAAGGATTGTAATAAACCTCTATCGTCCCCAGGAGGTGATCGGTTGGCGTAAAGATGCCTCACACCTGCTGGTGTTCACCACAGACGCCACCTCTCACTTTGCGATGGACGGGAAGATGGGCGGCTTGACAGAGCCTCACGATGGGCAGTGCCACGTGGGGCCCGACAACCTGTACAACGCCACCGGCCGCCTGGTGGGTACCGTGGCCACGGGGTGGGGGCCGATGCGCGGGGTGGGTTGGGGAGTTGCTGTGTGGGGTGGGTTGTGGGGGGGGAGGGAGGCTATTCAAGGGGATTCGGTGCTTCTCAGAAGCAGAGCCTAATCTCTATCTCTGTCTCTCTCTCTGTCTCTCTCCCTCTCACACACTCCCTCGTTCCCGGGGCAGGATTACCCCACTCTGGCCCAAGTGTCCGAGAAGCTGTCAGAAAACAACATTAACCTGATCTTCGCTGTGACGCACGGGGTGTCTAAACTGTACGAGGTGAAGAGTGACTCGATTACGGTGCATCGCGAGGGATGGATGGCGGGAGGGGGAGGGGTGGGCGGGTGGCTGGGAGTGGGGGTGGGTGGTGGTGGAGGGTGGAAGATGACCGAAGGTGCGGTCGAAGAGGACGGTCTTGAGCTGGGCCTTGAAGGAGGCAAGGGAAGGTGGAGGGGTGAGGTGGATGGATTCCCAGAGGGTGGGGGGGTGTGGGGTGGGGGGGTAGAGAGGGCTGAAGGCTCAGTGTTTAGTTGACGTTGGAGGTCTTGTGTGTGTCTCACAGAGTTACAGCAGTCTGATACCAGGCACCACAGTGGGAGTTCTGTCCAAGGATTCCAGCAATGTCCTGGAGCTGATCGTGGAGGCCTACCGGGTGAGCCGAGTCTGGCAGAGCGTCCCACCCACATGCCCCCCCCCCACCCCGGCTCCTCGCAGGCAGACCGCTGCCCGGAAGTAGTGACTGTCCCTGCGTGCTACGTACGAGGCAGTTAGCGCGCTCGCTTCGCAAGCCAGAGGACACGGGTTCGATTCCCGGGTCGGGGAGAAACCTTAACCAAGTTTCCTTACTCCACACACACGCACGTGCACACACACACGCGCACACGCACATATGCGCGCACATGCACACACACGCGCGCACGCACACGCGCGCGCCACTGTTTACCCAGGAACCCGGTTGTTGGTCGATCGGTGGATGGCTTTCCAGGGGTAACGATCCCTCCAAAAAAAAAAATGAGATTAACAATGCGGTCACTCAATCGACGAGTGTTTGGGGGGACACTTTGCGGCCGCATTTCACCCACAAAATACGCAGTCAATCAACGTGTGTTTTACAGTCTGTTCTGTGAAGGGCTTTGAGACGTCTCGATGATGCGATAAGGCGCTGTATCAAATGCAAGCATTATTATTATTATTATTATATTATTATAAACAGCCGTGAGCGTGAGGTGAGGTAAGGGATGGAATGGAATCCACCCATTTGCTGGCTTCTCATTGCTTGTTTCTTTTTTTTGGGGTGGGGGGCACCTTTCGGTAGAAAATCCGCTCGAGGATAGAGCTGGAGACACGGGAGCTCCCCCCGGAGCTGGCTCTGAGCTTCAGCGCCTCCTGTCTGAACCAGGACCCCATCCCCGGACAGAAATTCTGCTCCGGCCTCCACATCGGGGACACGGTGAGAGCGTGGGAGACTCGGCGCTGTGCGGTGTACACGGTGTGGGGGGGGCACGGGGGAAGGGGGGGGGGGGCAGGTCGGTGTCCGCGGAGTTCGTGTACGCAGTCCCTTTTGTACAATGTCGCTCTTCCTGACGTGTGTGACACAGCAGCTTGTCTTTGAGCCAAGGTTTAATCAGGAATTTCCCAGCTGTGTGTGCGCGTGTGTGTACGTGTGAGTATGTGTTGATGTGAGTGTTTGTGTGTGTGTGTGTATATGAGCATGTTGTGAGTGTATGTGATGTGCGCGCAAGTGTGTGTGTGTGTGTGAGTGCCTGTCTGGGTCAGTGGTGTGTGCGTCTGTACAGGTATAAAAACACCCATGTAGTGCGGTGGTACAGGATGGAGACAAGTGGAGGCGCGTCTGACATTATCTCCTCGCACGCCCAGGCATTCCGATCCTAACCTTTCCCAACCGTAATGCCTTACCCCGGAGCCCGACGGTTGCTCCATGTGCCTTGTTGTCGGTGCTTCCGGCTTCCTGGCCATCGTGTCCGGTGATCTCAGCGTTAATCCCACCGTTCCCCCCCCCTCTCCCCCGTGGTGTGGGTCGTAGAGGTTGTTTGGTGATTAATCCGCCCGCTCCCTCCGCTCAGCGGGCTCCGGCCTGCTCCACGTCCCCCGCCCCGCCCTCTCTACCATCGGTGCCTTAAGACTCTCTGCCCCCATCCTCTGGAGCTCCATCCAACAGTCCCTTCACCTCACAAACTATACAGTCAATTCACTTTACAGTATATTTTGTGAAGCGCTTTGAGACGTCTGAAAGGCGTGATCAGGCGCGGTATCAAATGGGTTTCCAATCGTTGGTCAGTCCGTTACTAGAATGGGATGGCTGGTGGCAGATCTAGTGGGGAGTTTGGGAGGAACATCTTCACGCAGAGGATGCTTCATGATTATTATTATTATTCCATTCTCCATCATGTTTCAAATTTTCTTACAGAAGAATTAGGGGGATCGTATTGAAACATATAAGATTCTTAAAGGGCTGATAAAGTAGACACTGACCGTCTGTTTCCCCGGTGGGAGAATCTATAACCAGGGGTCACAGTCTGAAAATTAAGGGTCAGCCTTTTAGAACAGAGTTGAGGGAACATTTCTTCACTCAGAGGGCAGTGAATTTATGGAATTCACTCCCCCAGAAGGCTGTCGATGTCAGTCCTCGAACATCTTCAAGGCTGAGACTGATAGATGTTTAAAATATAGAGGGATTGGGAGATATGGGGATAGGGCAGGTAATTAGAGTTAGGGCAGGAGATCAGCCATGATCTTACCGAATGGCGGGGCACAGGCTCGAGGGGCCGAATGGCCGACTCCTGCTCCTAATTCTTATGTTCTTTTGTTTGTTTGTTTGTTTTGTCTGTTATGATTCCTGCTCCTCACTCACTCAGCGACCAGCGATCAGGTCATATCAAATGCAAGGCTCGTTATTCTTATGATCATTATAAATATTATCCATTGCGATTATTATTATTGTTGTTATGAATATTCTGTGTATCATTATTCTATGTTATGTCTTGTTCCATATTATTATTGTTGTTGCTGTTGTTGTTATCATCAGGTGAACTTCACGGTGAGGGTGGAGGCGAGGGAGTGCCCGCCGGGCGGGGGGGAAAGGAGCTTCACGCTGAAGCCGGTGGGGTTCAAGGACACTCTCCACGTGACGGTGACCCTGGACTGCGGGTGCGAGTGCGAGCGGGCGGCGGAGGCCAACAGCTCTCGGTGCAGCCAGGGCTCCGGCACGTACGAGTGCGGAGTGTGTCGGTGTTTGCCGGGCAGACTCGGGCCTCGCTGCGAGTGTGACGAGAGCGACATCTCCCTGACCCCCGAGGACACCTGCGCCCCCAGCCGCGGCGAGCCCTTCTGCAGCGACCGAGGAGAGTGCATCTGCGGCCAGTGCGTGTGTCACAGGAGCGACTTGGGCCGCATTTCCGGAACCTTCTGCGAGTGCGACGACTTCTCCTGCGGCCACTTCAAGGGCCAACTGTGCTCAGGTAGGTCCAGCGCTGCGGAGGTTAACTCACTCTCACGCTCACTCACACTCTCACTCACGCACTTACACCCTCATACACTCAACACACTCACACTTACACACTCATACACTCAACACACTCACACTTACACACTCATACACTCAACACACACTCACACTTACACACTCATACACTCAAACACACACACTCAGACACTCAAACACACCCACTCATACTTACACACTCATACACTCAAACACACACACACTCACACTTACACACTCATACCCTCACACACATACTCTCACATTTACACACTCATACACACGCACACTCACTCAAAGTCTCATACATACTCACTCAGACTCACACACACTCGCAGACACACTCTCACACCTACACACACATACACTCATACATACACTCATACACACATTCAAAGTCACACACAACTCACCCTCACTCGCACACCGATACTCACACACCATCACTCTCTCACGCTCTGATACACTCACACACACACACACGCACACGCGCTAGATGTGCGAGCTGTTCGCAGACACCTGTGGATGCTCAGTGAGGCTGATGAGTGGTGTGGGGGTGGGTGGGGGGGGGGAGGAAGCTGCTGCTTTGCTCCCACGCATTCCTTCACACCCAAACCCTCACTATCAGCCCGGGGCAGACACACAGCTCATCACAGGCATTGCACAAGGATCACCCCAGTGTGACGCTGCCTTTACTCACGACACTGACCAGGACAGTGGGGAGGGACCACAATCAGGGCATCGAGACCCCAACCCTGACTCACAGGGTTAGGATTGTTGGAAACTGACTCTTACTCTGACTCTAATTATGAAATTGTTCCTTTCACAATGTACTGAGTCAGTGAGTGTGTGAGTGTGTGTGTGTGTGTGGTGGTGGGTGGGGGGGTGGGGGGTGGGTGGCAGGGGCTGGGGAGGGTAGTGTCACATTGTCACGTTAATACTAATTTGGGGGTCACTCAATCCACGACACGGCTGTCCCGTTTCGCCCACGAAATACACAGTCACTACACTTTACAGTATGTGCTGGGAAGCGACGTGATAAAGTGCTGTATTAAATGCAAGGATTATTATTATTGTTATTAAGACCAGGTTTGCGAAGAGACGGGGAGAAACGGGGGTGGGGGGGAGTGAGTGCGTGCGTGAGTGCGTGTGTGAGTGTGTGCGTGCGTGAATGGGTGTGTGAGTGCATGCGTGTGTGCGTGCATGTGTGAGTGTGTGTGTGCGTGAGTGGGTGTGTGAGTGCGTGCGTGTGTGAGTGCATGTGTGAGTGTGTGCGTGCGTGAGTGCGTGTGTGAGTGCGTGCGTGAGTGCGTGTGTGAGTGAGTGCGTGCGTGTGTGAGTGTGTGCGTGCGCGAGTGCGCGTGCGAGCGAGAGGCTGTTAGGGAGCCTCATTGCGCTGTGACGTGTCTGTGCCGTGTGTTTGCAGGGAACGGAGCGTGTCAGTGCGGTGAGTGTAGCTGTGCCCAAGGCTGGACCGGGGACCTGTGTAACTGCAGCTCCCTCACAGAGGCCTGCTCCCCTCCCGGGGGCTTAGTGTGCACCGGGCGCGGTGACTGCGAGTGCGGGCAGTGCGTGTGCACCCAGCCGGGGGCCTACGGACAACACTGCGAAAAGTGCCCCACCTGCCCTGACGTCTGCACCTTTAAGAAGTGAGTTTGTCTCTCTCGTTCTTCTCTCTCTTCTCTCTCTCGGGGAGAGGAGGGAAAGGGAAGATGTTAAACCAAACAAAACTTGGCCAAAGGCTGATGTGTGTGTGCGCGTGCATGTGTGTGCGCGCGTGTGTGTGTGTGTGCGCGCGCGAGTGTGTGTGTGCGCGCGTGTGTGTGCGCGTGCGTGCGTGTGTGTGCGCGTGTGTGTGAGACGGTCTCTCCCTGTGGCAGGAGCTGTATCGAGTGTAAAGTGTACAAGATGGGGGAGCTTCACAGCAACGGCACGTGCGACCGAGTGTGCAGAGACGAGATCAGAAAGGTGGAGAGCATCGGTGAGTGGGGGGGGGGTCATCGTGGAGCTAAATGGTCGCCGTGTCTGTAACCCCGGGTTTACCCGCCAACTCCCCCCGGTCCCCTCCCCACCCCTGACGTTAATGGCCAGTTCCGTGGCCCTGCGCCTTTTAATGCAGCGCACAGTGGGCAGAGGCTAACGAGGCTTGAGACGTCCTTCACCCTCTCTGACCCCACCCTTTGGAACTCCATCCCACAGACCCTCTGCCTCGCTCCCTCTCTCGCCTCCTTCGAGGCCCGTCTCAAGACCCTCCTCTTCGGCCGCGCCTTCGGTCAACCTCCCCCCCACGCCCCCACCCTCCCTGCCCTCCAACCCCCACCCTCCCGATCCCAACCCCCAGCTCGGGTCCAAATCCCTAACTGTCAAGCGCCTTGTGACGTCCTCCCGACGTGCACGGCTCTGTGTAAATGTCGTGTGTTGTTACCCTGTCTCTCTCTCGCTCGCTCTCTCTAGACCCTGAGGTGACGGACGGGGTGGTCTGCAGCTACAAGGACGAGAACGACTGCATCGTGCGCTTCCGTTACCACGAGGAGGTCAACGGCAAATCCGTTCTCTCTGTCGTCAATGAGCCAGGTTCGTGTTTTCTCTCGAGTCCGAATCGTCTCTCGCAGTCGGCACAGTTTGAACGGCGGCGATTGGCTTCCGTGTTTCTCCCACCAACCAAAAAACACACAGTCAGTTCCTTCGGCAGAGTGTCCCCGTGAAGCGCTTTGAGACGGCTCGAAGGTGTGATCGGGCGCGGTATCAAACGCCAGGATTGTTATTGTATTTGAGTATCATTGGTATAGTTATATGCATCGTGTTCAACCGAGGTCCGGACTCTGGGGACTTGTTTAAGTAACCGTGCAGTGTTTAATGGCCCACCCCACGTGCAGTGTTTAATGGCCCACCCCACGTGCAGTGTTTAATGGCCCACCCCACGTGCAGTGTTTAATGGCCCACCCCACGTGCAGTGTTTAATGCGTTTTTAATGCAATGCGAAGGTTCGGAAGAACTTTCCGCCCCTGAAACTCTCTCTGTCGTGATCTGATCACTGGAGGTGTTGAGGGTGTGGCAAAGCCTTGTGTCAACGCTGACTGAGACGGGAGGTTCCCGTTTCCCCTCGAGAGACGCTAACCTCCCCCTTTCCCCCCCACCCTCCTGTGGTGACAGAGTGTGTCCCGGGGCCTGATATCCTGGTGGCATTGCTGTCTGGGATGGGAGCCATCTTGTTGATAGGCCTTGTTGCTCTCCTGATCTGGAAACTGCTCATCACCGTGCACGACCGCAAGGAGTTTACCAAGTTCGAGGCCGAGAGAGCCAAGGCCAAGTGGGAGACGGTGAGTGAACGGGGAGTGGGGGGGGAGAGGGGCGGGAGAACGAGGGGTTGGGGTTTGGGGGATGAGGGGGGAGAAGAGAGGGGCTGGGGTTTGGGGAGGGGGCGCGAGGAGTGGAGAGAGAGGGTGGGATTTGGGGAGGGGGCGCGAGGGGGGAGCGAGACGGGGGAGCGAGAGGGGAGGGGGGGTGGGAAATAAAGTTTAACCCTTTAAATTCCATTGTGTTTCAGGCTAACAACCCGCTGTACCAGGGAGCCGTGTCCACATTCACCAACGTCATGTACCAGGGGAACGCGGAGTGAACGAGAACGAGAAGCTCGTGGCTCGGGGGGAGAGAGGGGGAGCTTTGCTGTGCGGGGAATGGCTCTGGTGGTTTATTGGGGGGGTGGGCGGGGGGGGTGAGGGAGGGTCTGACTGAGCCGTAGTCCCTCTCTCACCGCACGGCATCATCGTGCTCACGCTCTCCCTGCTCAGCGATATTTGTTGTCTAAGCTCTGAAGCAAATACACATGAGTTCTTCTCCCCGAGAGACTGACATTTGTACAGCGTCAGCACCAGGTCTCCAGGGAATTAGAAATTAGGGTTAGAAAGTGAAACTGTGTATGTGTCTTGTGTGTGTGTGAGTGTGTGTGTGTAAGTGTCTGTGTGGGTGTGTGTCTTGTGTGTGTGTCTGTGTGTGTGAGTGTCTGTGTGTAAGTGTCTGTGTGGGTGTGTGTCTTGTGTGTCTGTCTGTGTGTGAGTGTCTGTGGGTGGGTGTGTGTGTCTGTGTGTGTCTTGCGTGTGTGTCTGCATGTATGTCTGTGTGTGTGTCTTGTGTTTGTGTCTGTGTGTGTGTGTGAGAGTGTCTGTGTGTGTGTGTCTTGTGTTTGTGTGTGTGTGTGTGTGTGAGTGTCTGTGTGTGTGTGTGAGTGTCTGTGTGTGTGTGTGTGTGTCTCTTGTGTTTGTGTCTGTGTGTGTGTGAGTGTCTGTGTGTGTGTCTTGTGTTTGTGTCCGTGTGTGTGTGTGAGTGTCTGTGTGTGTGTGTCACTTGTGTTTGTGTCTGTGTGTGTGTGTCTGTGTACATGTGAAGGTTTCAGTTTTGCACATTCTTGACAGCTTGTGGAGTCCTGTAGCTCAGTGGTTAGAGCACTCGCTTTGTCAAGTGAGAGACCTGAGTTCAATTCCAGGCAGAGGGCGAAACCTTGGGCAAGTTTCCTTACTCCACACAGAGCCTAATAATAATCCCTCCAAAACCAAAACAATAATAAATCGGTCATTTTCAATCTACGACACTTTGTGGGACATTGCTGTGCGCAATTGGCTGCCGCGTTCGCCCACAAATATACAGTCAATTCACTTTACAGTGAGTTCTGTGAAGCGCTTTGGGACGTCCTCCCGACGTGAAAAGCGCTATATCAAATGCAAGGATTATTATTATTATTATAGCTGTTCTTCAGGAACGAAGAGGCCATTTTAAAGTTTAAAATTCTGACCTGGGTTTTGTTCACCTCCGATTGTTATTTACCTGTCCAGCCTTCTCCCCTGTTTATTCTCCCCCTGTGAGGCCGTGCGCCTCACACTAACCACCCGCATCAGCTATGTGTGTGATGAAATGTTTGCTTTCCTTGTTTAACAAATCACTGGAGCATATCCACCCTCACACCTCTCTACATGACCAGACGATTTGGTGCGACAGCTTGCTACGTTAATTTATTCCACACTTTTTAATCAGGGATTTTAACATTCCTCGGACTTGAGTTGACACGTACAGAGCACATCACAAGGTGATTATGTACATTATGGTTATTGCATCATTGGTTAGCTTTTATTCTCGGGAAGATCAGCATTAAAACCTGGGGGTTGTTTTTAGCTTTACCCCTGAGGAGAGAAACTGTAGCATCCTGTAGTTTAGTGGTTAGAGGACCCGGGTCCAATTCCCGGGCAACAACAACAACAAATTTACCTTTGTAAAGCGCCTTTCACATCTCATGTCCCAAGGCACTGGGCAGGGCGAAACCTTAGGCAAGTTTCCTCACTCAAGACGCCTCTGTTTACCGAGCAGTAAGTAGGAACCCAGTTGTCAGTCGATCGGTGGATGTTTTTTTCCAGGCAGTAATAAACCCTCCGCCCCCAAAAAAGTGTCGTTACTCAATCCACAACTGTTTGTGGAACTCTGTTCTGTGCAATTGGCCACTGCGATTGGCCCACCAAATATACAGTGTATTCCTGTGAAGGGCTTTGAAATGTCTCGAAGACATGACAAGGCGCGGTATCGAATGCAGGATCAAATAATTATGATGATTGTTATGATTATTATTAGAATTGTGCCTCCTCAGGCCTCCCCACCCCACTTTGCACACCTCTACCAGCCCCAGGCCAGGCTTGTGGAGCAGTTTGTCGGAGCAGCGAAACCCAAACCGAAGAGGAAGTTTGCAGGAAACCAACACCGAGCAAAAAATCTGGAACCGGTCCAAACTGTGGCAAGTTTATTCTTTTTCTGTGGTGCACAGCGTCCCCCGTTGGGAGCAGCGCGTTACCGCAACAGGATAATCACGCCCTGGTTTTGCTCGGCTGAAATGTTTCATTGGGCGCTTTATGAACGATGGGATCTTTCCGTGGTCTGCGTTGAGTTGCACGGTACCAGCCAGTGTTGGCGGTGCTAGGAACGGTGGGTTTGAAGGACGGTAGCCCACAACGGGGCAGGTATTCTGACACAGACTTTGATGAAGGTGCGAGCGTATCTAACGGCAACAACTTGCATTTATATCGCGCCCTTCCCACAGGGTAGCGTCTCGGAGCGCCTGAATCCACTGAGATTCCACCCCTGGCTGCAAACTCCCATCACCTGAGTTAGTTAACCCAGGACTGGAAATTGACTATATCAGGTCGCGAAAGCTTTTTTTTTTTGACATCAACTCGTTATATTCTTTAAAAATATTGATAAACGTCATCTGCGGTGGTTCAATCGCGCTGTCGATTTTGCACCCGATTTGCTGATCCCCGGAGCCCACACCGTGTCAGCTTCCAGCGGGAGAGATCGATCCTGTTAACTCACTGCTTCGCGCTTTATGTACCTCCGCCGATGCACACCGCGATTCCGCTCGCAATAAAGATGCTCATTTTGTTATTCAGCCGCCAAGTGCGTCGTTATTTTACTCCCAAACACTGAAACGGGGGAGGAAAAAGCCGCCAGCCTGGGAAGCCTGAAATTCGCTGGACCGGACTAAAATGGCATTGTAACGGTTAAATCGCTGACTCACTGATACTGTTCCCCTTCCCCTCTTGTGAGTCCCAAGACAAAACCTCGGGCGTGGACCGTGTGCGCGTACCCGCTGAGGCGTGAGCGCACAATTTTGCACGGCTCGATAACATGTCACCACGGGCATTCGCTTGGAAATGCATCGACACAAAGGTGCGTGCAAAAATGCAAACTTGTCCCCCCCCAAGTTCATAACTTAACCTTATTTGATCGTTTCCGTTAGAGTTATAACGGGTTAGTTAACGGGTGTCGTTTCCAGTTAAAACCTGTGCGTGAACGGTGACAGGTTCTGGATACCCGGCGAGGTTAGAGTTTCTATTCTCCTCTCCCGGGTTCGATTCCTGGAAGGGCGAAACATTGGGCAGGTTTCCTTACTCCACACACACACACACACACACAGCCTCATAATAGTCCCTCCTTCAAAAAAATAACGATAATAAATTGGTCACGTGTGGGACGCTGCTGCGCGCAATTTGGCCGCCGCCGCGTCTCGCCCGCAAATATACGGTCAATTCACTTTACAGCGAATTCTGTGAAGCGCTTTGAGACGTCTCGAAGACGTGATGAGGCAAAGGCGCTGTGCCAAATGCAAGGATTATTATTATTATTATTATTATTATTATTATTATTATCATTATCATTATCATTATCATTATCATTATCATTATCATTATCATCACTGTCGCAGCTCGCACGGTGAGTGACGGCCGCTCGGATGAGGTCTCAGGGATTGGGGGTGGGGAGGGTTGGATTGAGGAAAGATGTCAGACGCCCCGAACGCGCAGTCACTACGCCTCGCGGGGTATAAAATCCCCGGGAAGCGGGCGCTTTGAGGCCGTCTGGAAGACTTGAGCGACATCCCGACCCGACCGCCCTCCGGCGCCTCGGGACGTCCTCCCCGACGTGAAAGGCGCTCCGGGAATGAAACCTTGTGGTTGTCGTATTATTATTATCATAATAATTAATAACAATTAATTGTACTGTGTGTCACTGGGCTAAGGAGAGGATGGATGGGATGGGATGGGATGGATGGAGGATGATGATGGAGAGTCAGGGGCTCGGTTGCCCTGGTAACTGTCTCCCTGGTGACAGCCGCCGCCTGGCGGTGCGGTCCTCCCGGTCGGGTCCTCCGCCGTCCCGGCGTCCCTCACTGCGCTCCAACATGGCGGCGCCCAGTCAGGCGGAGGAGCCGCCGCCGCCGCCGCCGCCGCCCGCGCTCAGACCGCGCTTCGGCTCCCGCTTCCTGACCGAACCGGGACAAGTCTTTCAGCACAACGCCTGGTGAGGGGACCGGGATCGTCCCGACAGCCGGAGGCGCCGCTTTAACCGAGATCAGCGCCTGTTTTTTTTAACCCCTCCCAACAGTGCACCGGCTCCGCTACCCCTCCCCCCACCTCACCCTCACCCACCCCCCACTGGCATCCCCCTCCCCCCTCCCACCCCGACACCCCCCCCCCCCCCCCCGGCACCACCACCAACAACAACAACTGACATTTACACAGGGTCCAGGGCGCTGGAACATAGGAACAGGAGGAGGCCATTCAGCCCCTTGAGCCTGTACCTCAACTCTATTGGAGGTTGGACAACTCAGGGATTCGGACCTGAGCTGGGGAGGTGGGGAGGTGGGGGGGGGGGGTTGGGATCAGCAGGGGGTGGAGGGCAGCGGTGGGGTGGGGGGGGGGGGGCGGCGCGGGGGTAGGAGGGTGACCGAAGGAGTGGTCGAAGAGGAGGTTCTTGAGACGGGCCTCGAAGGAGGTGGGGGGGTGGGGGGGAGTGTGAGGCGAAGGGGCCCCGGGATGGAGTTCCAGAGGGTGGGGGCAGAGAGGCTGAAGGTCCGACCGCCGATGGTGGAACGGTCAGGGTGGGGGCGTGGATCAGGCCGGAGCCCACCGAGCGGAGGGGGCGGCTGCGTTGATGAAGTTTGAGTGGGTCGCGGAGGTGGGGAGCGGCACGAACGTGGAGGGCTTTAAAAGTGAGGGCCAGGATCTTAAACACAGGATCCTGATCTCAGGCCAGCGGCCGCCTGACTGCTCCAGGCCGGGTGACGCTGACTGACCTTCAGCCTGGTCCTGGTCAGTAATCTGCATTTTATTTCTCCTCACTGAAGGGATAACGTGGAGTGGTCTGAGGAACAGGAAGCTGCCGCAAGGAAGAAGGTGGAGGAAAGTTGCAGCCAGCTTGTACCGTCAGAGAAGCGAGGTCAGCTTCATTTTTTTTTCTGTGTGTAGAGTGGTGGGGTGGGGGTGGTAAGAAAAGGGGTATTGTTTTGACAAGTTTTCTTACTCCACACGCCTCTGTTTACCCAGCAGTAAGTAGGACCCGATTGTTAGCCAATTGGCAGATCGCTTTTCCAGGGTAATAATTCCTTCAAAAAAATAATAATAATAAATTGGTCACTCAATCCGCGACTGTTTTTGTGGGAACGCTGCTGTGTGCAATTGGCTGCCGCATTTCGCCCACAAAATATATAGGCAATTCACTTTACAGTAAATTCTGTGAAGCGCTTTCAGACGTCTCGAAGACGTACAAGGATCATTGTTATTTTATTATGATCGTTTCGACAAGCCCACTTTGCTCATCCATGAGACTTGGGACTGTAGACTTGTCTGTGAAACGTAGGCTAAGTACTGTCCGTACCTGGATGTTGTCACTCTGAGACACTACCCCACGTGAAGGGCACTTTATAAATGCAAGTTGCTGTTGCCAGATCCAGTGTGTTAAATTTACTGCTTTTGGCTTTAATATGAAAAGTGGTAAAACAGTTAAACCACAGTGACTGGTGAGTTAAATAATTTTGAAAATCTGACTTCCATTTTGGAACACAGAGGACTACGAGAACAAAGCGAATAGCTACTGGAACGACTTTTATAAAATCCACGACAACCGCTTTTTCAAGGACCGTCACTGGCTGTTCACGGAGTTTCCTGAGCTCGTTCCCAACTGTAAACAGTCGCTGGTGGATAAATCCCAACCTCAAGCAACGGCTCCAGATTCGTGCGAGGACACCGAATCCAAGGGTTGTAAGGATGATCGCTGCCCATCACAGACATGCCTGGGAAAAGCCCGTTTGTCCCTCCAGAAACAGGACCTACAGACAGAGGCAGACAGTGAGGGAGATGGTTGTACAGCAGACAGACTCACAGATGCTTTTTTGAGCAGGAGTTCTCTGGAAGAAACAGAGCCGAGTGAGACAAACATAAACTATCCAGGATTCTCTGCAACGTTCCGTATACTTGAGGTAACTTGGAGGAAATCGGCATTCAAAGAGTTTCCTGCTAAACCGTGCACTCCCCAGTGGTTTGCTGAGTCTAGCCAGCGAGCTGCAGAAATCGTGTTGCTTGTGTGTTTATATGTGACGTTTTCTGGTGAATCGACTCTTGGTGAGTTGAAGGGAGGATCACAGCTGGGGTTCTGAAAACACGGAGCAACGGGGACAGAATTTGTGGAATGTGATTTGCATTGAAATGAAATGAATGTTTGCTGATCTTAAGTGGGATTAACTGGAACAGCCTGAACAAACAAGCTACCAGTCCTCCCAATAGCATTCTTAAAATAGAGTCGACCCTAACTCTAACCTGTCTTCAACAACCTCTCGGCGACAGGAACAAAGTGGACTTTATATAAGGGTAGCCTCTGAGTAAGGGTTCGTTGGCGTGCAATCGCACACTAAAGGAACTTGTTCACAGGGGATGGTTGCTCAATTAAGGTGGTTGCTTGAACAGGTTTGACTGTAATAGTACTCATAACTCCGTAGTTTGCCTTAATTGTGATTTTTTGTTTTCTCTCCTCATGAGGTCGGCTGTGGAGCTGGAAATACCGTGTTTCCCATTTTGAAAACTAACAAGTAAGAAGCTGTTTGTGTGGGAGCTCTGAGGGTTCGCATGTTTAGTCGCTTATCATTCAGCTTGACCTGTGGTTCACTGTCCAGCACCTTGGGACGGACACCCGGCATGAGAGAAGCTAATATAAATGCAATTGGTTATTGTTGGCCATATTACAGTTCATTACAGAGAAACAGCATGCGGTTAGTGTTGGGGCAACAGCCAGGCTGAGGTTCACCTCAATAAATCGATCAAAGAAAGCTTTGGGAATTTGGATGAGCAGTGAGAGGGGCGATGTTCCATTCCTGGTTTCGGTATGTGGGGTTGAGATGACATTAACACGATTGATCCTGACAGTCTTGTAACGCGCTTTGTATTATTCGGGACCTGTTTTGCGGCTGAAAACTGACTTGTGTTTGCCCGTTGCAGTGACCCTGCCATGTTTGTTTACTGCTGCGATTTCTCCAGCACTGCAGTGGAAATCGTGAAGGTGAGTCTAGTGCTGTGATAGTGATACTGCTCTGTCTCTGGGCGAAATGAAACTCAGCAGCCGAGATGCCCGCGTGTTTGTGTTTATCGTCACTGTGGGAGTCTTCTTTCTATCAGTGCTCAGGTCTGTCTCTCCTCTGTCTGTAGATGCACCCTGATTACAACCCCTCTCGCTGCTTTGCTTTCGTCCACGATCTGTGTGACGAGTCAGACAGGTATCCGGTGCCAGACAACAGCCTGGACATCATCATCCTTATATTTGTGCTGTCAGCCATACATCCAGACAAGTAAGAGAGAGATAACTTATTTTTACAGCAACTTGTAATTCACAGTGTTCCAACAGACTTCGCAGCAAATGTCAAGTTTTAATCAGTTATTGTTAAGCTCAACAGCAACAACTTGCATTTACACAGCACCCCCTCACACAGGGTAGCGTCCCAGAACGCTAGACAGAGGTGGAGCACGATGTCAAACCCAGGGGGTTGGGGGGGTAACCGTAGGCAGTGGTCGAAGAGGAAAGTCTTCAGGCACGACCCGAAGATGGGGAAGGAGGGGCGAGGCGGAGGAATAGAGGAAGAGTGTTCCAGAGTTTTGGGGTTTAGCGGCTGAAAGTGCGGAAAGTGGAATGAACATCATGGAAAGAGGAAAGAGTTTAGTTCAAAAAAGTCTTGCAATGTAATTTCACTGATTAACAGTTTGAAAGCATTTTGAACCGATTCCTGCACAGTTTGCTGATTGTTGACGAAGGAATCCCGAGGTTTGCTGGTGCCTTTGTTAACTTTCCCTTACCTTTTTCTCTCTCCTCTGCAGAATGCAAGCTGTTATTAGTGGATTGAATCGACTTCTAAAGCCAGGAGGGATGATTCTGTTCAGGGACTACGGACGTTATGATCTGGCGCAGCTACGATTTAAAAAAGGTGCGACTAAGTAGGAACTGGGTTGTTAGTCAATTGGCAGATGGCTTTCCGGGGGTGTTAATCCCTTCAAAGCAACAAAGATAGAATGTATAGGTGATCGTTGTAAAGCTTCACTCACAGTGATTACTGCCGTGTAATTCATTCCTCTTTGCAGGTCGCTGTTTGTCTGAGAATTTCTACGTTCGAGGAGATGGGACCAGAGTCTATTTTTTCACACAAGGTACTTGCCTTCCACCAGGCTATATTACAATAACAGTTGATTTCTTAATCAAAAGAAGTGGGGAGTTTAGTGGTGATATTTCCTCATGTTAAAATCACTTGTGAATCCAAAGCCGAAAGTGAATCAATTATTAATCTCCAATTTACCCCCCATCGCTCCCATAATTTACCAATGATTGTACAACGTTGGTCTCTGGGCTGCCGAGTGCCACAGAATGTCACAGGCACAGAAGGGGGTGATGTGCGACACATATCTGCTCTGGTGTTTTTTGGGGCGAGTCCTGTTGCCTACTTCCATTACCCTTTAATATTGCTTCAAGCATCTATCAAACTCCAAAATGAGTAATTGTCTGGCCTCCTGTGCCATAACGATCCTCTTCCTGCTACCTCTCCTGTACTAACCTCTGCTGTTGGCTTCCTTTCTCTCCCCCCCTTCACTCTCTCTCTCTATCTCTCTCTCCCCCCCCCCCCCCCCCACCACTCACCACACAGAGGGCTTGGAGGAGCTGTTCACCTCGGCTGGGATGGAGAAAGTCCAGAACCTCGTCGACCGTCGGCTGCAAGTCAACCGCGGGAAACAGCTGACCATGTACCGCGTGTGGATCCAGTGCAAATATCGCAAACCCCTCGAGGCAGAGAGTTGAGTGCGGAGTGAGGCTTCACTGTCTCAGTGTGAGTGTGGATCCAGCCCTCGCAGCTCACAGACGAGTTATTTTCCAAATGATTATTGGTTTCATTGAATTTTAAATAGATTTTTCAGTGACAATGCATTTAATAAATTCCAAATATTTTTCTTTGGGGGTTTGCGGTGATTGGTGTGTGTGTGTTTGACTTGTTCAGCACTTTTCACTTGGTCTTAGGCTGTACTGACGGGAAGCAGTCAGTGCTTTTTATAATATAAACTTGTGTTAAGAACAGAACACATTACAAGCAGAGCTTGGCATATGGTATCCTATTTGTAAAACTTGTGTAACGTATATAGTTATAATACAATCCAAGTGGTGAGGAAACTGAATTCTGGTTTTGGCCCTGTGTGAGGTGCATGTGGATTGAATTAGCGCGTGTGTAGTGGTGACAAGTAAGAGTGTATGATGAACAGACATGGCTGTTTACTCCTGCAATGACTATGCTCCTTGGAGAGGAGGTTACTGGGGTCTCCTTGGAGCCCAACTTCCAATAAACAGCTCTGGAATTTCCATGTGTAGGTGGGATGCATGGAACTCAGTTTGGTTTTGATACTCTTAATCACAGTGATGGAATTTCACACGTGTTAGAACCCGCCTGACCCCCAAAAAACCTGTATTCCTGTTCACCTCTCAAACCTTTGTTGCTTTTTGTTCAACTATCATTAGTTAGTGTAATTATCGCTGTTGCAAAAAAAGAGTTAAAAGTTTTAAGTTAGTTTCAACTTCCTTTAGTTTCTGTCCTTTGTTTTCCTTTCAGATGTATTTTATTCAAATGATCGGTGATGATCACGTTGTCAGGGGCACTGGTTGGGAAATTACAATAATCAGACCGAGAGTGCAAAGCAACTTTACCAACACAGTGGTGATGGATCATTAGCACAGGGTGTGGCTGAGGAGAGATAATGAGTGAAACAACGTGAGGCAGTTGGATTAATGTCGGGGGAGATAGTCATTAGGGCAGGGCAGTGGCTGAACTGAATCACTGACCCAGACAGTGTCAGCGAGAGGGAGTAATAGCAGCAGACACGTAGTCATTAACACAGGTAGTATCCTTGGTCTTGGAGGTGAGTGTGGAGTGAGCATTTCCCCTTCAGTCAGTTAAACGCTAGACTTGACGTGGCTCAGGGTTCAAGTCCCGACAGATCCACTCAGTCCTTTACACCTTGATAAAGATGATCCTAGGTTTTATTTGTAAAAGCTATTTACGGTCATTATTAACGTGATATTATATTAGCTCAGGAATAATCCGTGGTTGACCATATTTTTTTAGCTGATGAACATGTTTTCAACAGAGTCAAAGACCCAGTTGGTAGTTAGGGCAGTGTTAGCGAGATAACTACTGTGAATCGGATGCTATCCTGCGTAAGGAGAGCTGTATAAACGCAAGTTGTTGTTTTTCTTTAATTTTTACCAGTGTTACACAATCACCATTAATACAGGATGTTGGCTGGGACACGTTAAGGAGATAAATAGTTTGAGTTCAGATGAATTAACAGCAGTAGGTAGTCATTAACATGGGGCGCTGCCTGAGATGAATCACTGAGTCCAACAGTGTTACGCAGTCATCTGCTTGTGCATATTCATGGTGCAGAGTTTCTGTTTGACAGTTCTCGAGTGTGCCATCTCGACCGAAGACTCATCGAGTCGAGAAAGTGTTTTTTAACGGGATTCAGTGAACAGCCACTATGAGGGGACCGTGCCAGCACTGGGTGGACCTTGGTCCTCTTTCGCCTAGAAAAGTCTCATGGTCTTGCAATGCATCACGGCCATCGCTCGCTCCAAAACACCAGAAGCAATATTACGGCTGCAGCGTTGCCGGTTACCGCAAGTTTTCCCCGTGACTGAATGAGTCGCTGTTACCGGAACCTCCGCAACCGCCATACTGTCTGTACCTCTGAAGAACACAGCCGCCCGGGCCTTGGGAAACCCCTAACGTGCATTGGGTGGAACTCAACAGCACGAGCTGCAGGTTACCAGAGCATGTGCATCCCCCAGTTGTTTATTTTGAAACCCTAATTTGTCTCCTCACGTGCACGTAACAGGGGGAGCGATTCTTTTGCACACTTCAGAATTAAGCCTCGAGAGATGGGTTATTTGTTTAATTATCTCCCTCTTTGTCGTATGTGCTCTCCGTTGACTTTGCTGCAGCAGGTGCAGACGCTACCACTTACCCCCAGAGGATGCAATAATAATATACCTTGTTACAGCGTTTGGAAGAATGATCTACAAGGCTCTTCCGTACCTCTGGATGCCATTTGTTCAGCCTCATTGGTTTGTTCTAATAATAATAATAATCCTTACATTTGACATAGGGCCGTATCACGTCGCTGAGACGCCTCAAAGCGCTGCACGGAAGTGTAGTGTAGTGACTGCGTGCTTTTGTGGGCGAAACGTGCGTTCTAATAAAGTATTTCGAAACGTTTTTTGAAAAAAAAATGGTTTCGAAGACTCGGTTTTACTTTTAGGTAAACGCTGAAGTGCGGACGTGTCATTACAACATCGGACAAAACTAAAATCTGTTTCTAGAGACCACTCATGGGGATTTCCCCCCACCCCCCCACCCCGAACAGAGACAGCAAGGTTGGGACGGAATTCATTAATAGTCATTAGGTTGCTAATGGGGATTGCACAGCACATAACTGCTGACCCGCAGATACCCCGTAAACCCGCGCACACGCGGTCCGGTCCCTTGGGTTGTGATTTACACGCCCAGGATTGTGAACGGGCAACGTGAAGGCGCTGAGATCTGATCCAGGTAACGACAGGATTAGAGAGCGGCAGCTGCACATACAAACATGCAGACAGTCGCGGAGAACTAATGTCCACATTGTTTTGATGGCCGCGATGCGATCGGTCCCGTTTAGCGCAAATCTCTCTCTCTCCCTATACCGCATGTTGTCAGATAGACGAACATGCAGCTCCCAGCAAAAGAGGCGTTTGATCCCCTTGGGGGTGGTGGTGAGTGACGGTGAGTGACGGTGGGTGGCAGGAGGGCCTGAATGCCAGCGGGAGACGGGGAGGTTGTGATTTGGCGCAGAAACGCATCGGTGAGCCTTCGCGCCCCTGGACCAGAGCGAGGAGCTGGAACAACAACTTGCACTTACGCAGCTGCCCCTCACGCAGGATAGCGTCCCAGATAGCTCGACAGTGTAGGAGCAGCACACGACCCCGTAGGGGGTGGGCGGGTGGGCGGCGGCGGGTGGGAACGGCTAAAGAGTAAGGTCCTTCAGGGGCAACAGTTCCAAGGTGGGGCATTGATGTCCGCCAACACTCCGCTGTGGCCTCTCGTTGGGAGAGGTGATGGAGATACCTAACAACATCAACAATAATAATAATAATATTCAATAGGAGGTTATGGTGGGGGGGGGACACTGGCTCCCCTGGTGGTGGGGGGGGGGGACACTGGCTCCCCTGGTGGTGGGGGGGGGACAATGGCTCCCCTGGTGGTGGTGGGGGGGGGGACACTGGCTCCCTTGGTGGTGGGTGGAGGTGGGGGGGGACACTGGCTCCCCTGGTGGTGGGGGGGGGGGGGGGGGACACTGGCTCCCCTGGTGGTGGGGGGGGGGACACTGGCTCCCCTGGTGGTGGGTGGGGTGGGGGGGGACACTGGCTCCCCTGGTGGTGGTGGGGGGGGGACACTGGCTCCCCTGGTGGTGGTGGGGGGGGGACACTGGCTCCCCTGGTGGTGGGGGGGGGGGGACACTGGCTCCCCTGGTGGTGGGGGGGGGGGGGGGGGACACTGGCTCCCCTGGTGGTGGGTGGAGTTGGGGGGACACTGGCTCCCCTGGTGGTGGGTGGAGGTGGGGGGGGACACTGGCTCCCCTGGTGGTGGGTGGGGGGGGGGACACTGGCTCCCCTGGTGGTGGGGGGGGGACACTGGCTCCCCTGGTGGTGGGTGGAGGTGGGGGGGGACACTGGCTCCCCTGGTGGTGGTGGGGGGGGGGGACACTGGCTCCCCTGGTGGTGGTGGAGGATGATTACAGGAGGAGAGTGTGAAGGTGTGTGGGTGGGGGTTGTGGGGGGGACACAGAGAGACAGACAGAGAGAGAGACAGAGAGGAGCAGATGGAGGAGTGCGCTGGTGAGAGAGCCACAGCCCTGAGTGTCCATGGGCTGGAGAGGGCGGGGGGTGGGGGGGGGGGAGAGGAGCCCCCCCCGCCCCCCCCCCCCGGGGCGGTCATTCTCTCGCGAGAGGCGATGGGGCTCTTTTTTTTGTGGGGGGGGGGGCGAGGGGGGGGGGGGGGGGGTGTTGCCGGACTCTTAAAGCGGAGCGGCGCCCGGAGGGAAGACGGGAGGGACGTCCTCGCTTTAAGAGCCGCCGAACGCGGGCGCGAGTGAGTGAGTGAGTGAGGGAGGGAGTGAGGGAGTGAGGAGTGAGGGAGTGAGGAGGGGGGAGTGAGGGGCGGCCCTGCAGCCGCCTGACACCGTGTGAAGGGTCGGGGGCGGTGGGCGGAGAGAGAGAGAGAGGGAGGGAGGAGGGTCGGCGCGTGTCACTGACCCGAGCCCCGGGCTCCAGTCAGAGGCCTCGGGGGGGGGTCGGGGTGGGTGGGGGTCGCTCCCCCGCGAGCAGGTGAGCGGGTGACGCGGTTCGCGCGCGATTTGAGGCCTCGGGCGGTCGGGATCGGGCGACGACTCTCGAAGCGAAGGCTCCTCCCCCGGGACCCCCCCCCCCCCCCCCCCCGGCGGCGGCGGCGGCGGTCACCCGAACCCGAGGCCCGAGGCTCGAGGCCTACAGTCGGCGGGAGAGGGGTGAGCGGCTGAGGCCGAGGGGCCGGAGGGGGTGAACCCCGTCCCCTCCGGGAGGGGGGGGGGGGTGGGGTGTGTGTGCCCCCCCCCCCCCCCGAGGGGGAAGGGAAGGGGGAGAAGCGCCGCCGCCGCCGCGTTGCCAAATAGTGTCCGAGGCGCACGTCCGTCCCGTCCCCCGTCCACCGGCGGCGCCGCGCAGGCGCACTGAGCGGCCGGAGGAGCTGCCAGATAGTGAGCCGTGTTAAAGGGGGGGAGTGGGGGGGGGGGAGTGTGAGGGTGTGGGGGGTGTCAGCCTCTGGAGGTAAAGCCCTCTCAGGCTCCGGGCCCTGAGGGTTCAGCACTGGGCCTCGGCCTCGCCCCCCCCCCCCCCCCCCCATCACTGCTGTCGCTGACTCGGGGCCTAAAGTGCTCCCCAGGACTCTCTTTCTCTCTCTCTCTCTCTCTCTCCCCCCCCCCCCCCCCCAAAAAAAAACTTTTTTCTTCTCCCCCCCCCCCCCCCCTCAATCTGTTCTTCTCACTCTCTCTCTCTCTCTACCCCTCAAAAAAGTGCAGTGAGAGGAGTGGGGGGGGTGGGAGGGGGAGGGAGTGGGTGTCTGGTTTGGATTGGATTGGGGGGGTTGGGGGGGGGCAGCAGCACTGGGACACGACACCCCCCGCCGGTCAGTCGGTAATTAGTAGTAGTAGTAATAATAATAATAATAATGATAATGATCCTCGGGTTATAATAACGGAATCCTCGTCCCGTCCCCGTCCCCCCCCCATCCCCACCCCCCGAGACGTCTCGCAGAGCGCTCCGCGCGACCGTCGAGTGACACCCCCCCCCCCCGCGGTGACTCGTGCGTTTCGTCGGCGGGCGCGAACCCCCCCACCACCACCACCACCACTCCGCCGCCGCTTCTGCTGACTAGCGGAGGTGGGCGAGGGCGGGGGGTGGGGGGGGGGGGGTGTTGGGGGGGTTGGGGGGGTGTTGGGTGTGGTGTTGGGGGTGGGTGTTGGGTGTGAGTGTGGGGGGTGGGCGTTGGGTGTGGGGGGGTGTGTTGGGTGTGGGGTGTTGGTTGTGGGGTTGGGTGTGGGGGGGGTGTTGGGGTGGGTGTGGGGGGGGGTTGGTGGGGGGGGTGTTGGGTGTGGGGGTGGGGGGGTTGGTGTGGGGGGGTGGGGGTGTGGTGTGGGGGGTGTGTTGGGTTGTGGGGGGTGTTGGGTGTGGGGGGGTTGGTGTGGGGGTGGGTGGTTGGGGGTTGGTGTGGGGGGGGTGTGGGGGGGGGGGGTGTTGGGAAACGTAAGGGAGGAACCTGAGCACTGGTGCGGGTGATCTTCAGTCTGTCTCCCCGGTGTCACGGTCACAGGTGCAGCGCCTGCGTGGCACGAGCGGCGTTGTCCCGGTCCCCTGGCGTCGTGGGTGCAATTGACGTGACTGTTCACACCCCCCCCACACCCCACACCCCCCCACCCACTCCCCACCCCCCACCCAATCGCTCTCTTTAATTACACCCTTTACAGGTTTCTTTACGTTTTGAGCTGCGATCCCACAAATTGCTTCCACGTGAGCCGCGCGCCAGTGGGCGGTGCGGCCTTTTTAAAAAATATATAACTTCTTTTGCAGACCAGTGTAACGGCGCTTCTGCGAGGTAAGCCCGGGGGGCATTCAGGGTGTAATAATAATAATAATAATAATAATAATAATAATCCCCTGCCTTTGATCTAACGTCTTACCGCGTTGTCGAGACGTCTCAAAGCGCCCCTCACAGAGTATACTGTGGAGTCCTGTAGCTCAGTGGTTAGAGCACTCGCTTTGCAAGTGAGAGACCTGAGTTCAATTCCAGGCAGAGGGCGAAATCTCGGGCAAGTTTCCTTACTCCACACAGAGCCTAATAATAATCCCTCCAAAAACACAAAAACAATAATAAATTGGTCATTTTCAATCAACGACTGTTTGTGGACATTGCTGTGCGCAATTGGCTGCCGCGTTCGCCCACAAATATACAGTCAATTCACTTTACAGTGTGTTCTGTGAAGCGCTTTGGGACGTCCTCCCGACGTGAAAAGCGCTATATCAAATGCAAGGATTATTATTATTATTATACCGTAAAGTGTAGCGACTGCATGTTTTGCGGGCAAAACGCGGCAGGCAAATCACGCGCAGTAGATTTGTGTATCACCTTGCGTTTGCAGAAGTCGTGCCGTTGTAAGGTTTGCTCCGAGTAACTAGTTATCCTCTCTCTGGTTGCCTCTCTCTCTCTCTCTCTCTCTCGCTCTCTCTCCAGTCTCCAATTTCAGGTAATTTCACTTGTTTCCAGCAACTTAGTGCGTTCAGGCTGCGTTGACTATCTATGTGCTAAATCGGCGCTGTCGTGTTGGTCCCCTTTTACAGTAAGGAGTGAGTGACCACGACAAATTAGTAGAAGGTTCCTGTTGGGATTTACGGGGAGGTGGGAATTGACGTTGCCGTACTGTTCAAATGCAGAGTTGGGCGCTCGGAGGCACTGTTACCGACGTGAATGAGTTTGTTAAGTTGGTCTGTGATCAGCGGACGGTTGTTGAATGATCAGTTTATCTGGAGGGACGTTGGCAAGGACACCCTTTTCTTTTTAAAAGTGTCGCGGGATCCCTATCGCCAACCAGCAACGTGCAGACGGGCGCTCCAAAGGAAAATTCGCACGCCCCAAAACTTGTACAGAGTTGAGATCATCCGCCTGAAATAGTTTTTATGTACAGTGGCCGGTGACACTATAAGGGATAGAAATTTGATCTCGCCAGGCCTTATTTATTGTCCCATCAGTTAATTTTCCTTCTCTTTCTCCCCTCCCTCCACGTGAACTTGCGTTCTATCCTGAGACCTGTGTCTATGTCCTTGTCAAAGCAGGGAGAGAGTGGGGTGGGGGGGGTTTGAAGGAGAACTGCCCCCCAACTGATCTGATTTAGGACGCGTTAAACCTGATTTGTGAATTGAAGAGAGAGTGCGCAACTCTTGTGGCTGACAGCGCTGACTTAATGAGCTGCACGTCTCAAATATAATACATTGGTTAATGTCAACCGTGGAATTCAGTCCTAATGTATTTGACTAAATTTTGAGGTCTGTTTTGGTGGGACTCGTGAACGTTGAAAATTCGTACTGTTGTATCCCAAATTCATCGTTTACAGTGGGTTCTAACGGCATTGCACGGACGCTGAAGTTTGACCAGAGCACACCATGGTTTTAATTTGTACATTAATCCGTCTATTTAAGGGCGTTTGCGTAATTGTTTAATCCAGACACAGACTTGTTTAATTGCGCTGCCAGCCCGGAATTCTGACCAGAGCTCAACTGATGTCAGTTTTGTTTTTATGATTTTTTTTTAAATATTCTTTTTGCTCAGTTGCTAACTTCAGGCTCATGTCCTCCCCCTTCTCCCCATCTCTGACCTGTTGGTTGGGGAAACCTACCATCTATTGGTGCAAAATCACTCCCCCCAAAAAGACTTCTCTCGGGCTGCACTCAGTAACTAAATTAGCCGGTATTCCTGAAGGTACACAGGCCCTTTAGTTTACTATTGCCTTTCCTCTGGGGGTTGGATGTGCCACTTTTCATGGACGCTAATTACACTATTTACTTCCCCTGGGTTAGAAACGCGAGCTCAAGAGCTCTGGGTAAAATGGTGATGATCGTTAATGCTTCATTAAACTCTTCACCCACCCTTGTAAATGATCTGAACGCTAAGGCTGGTGATGCGGGGTGGGCTGGTGGAGAGAGAGCAAACTGGAATCCAATGATCTGGGTTTGCAGTTCAAGACGGGAGCCCAGTAGACGATTAAACCAGTATTCATTTGAGCCACATGAACTGCAGAAAGCCAGGGTGGGGTGTGAAAGCTGGAGTAATATCACATGCACACTCGCGTGAGTTTCACTGTCTATCCACTGTGCTGTTTGTGTTCTTTGTATATTTTTAAAAAAAAACTCAAGGCCTTTCTGAATTATCGTCAGGTAACTGTGGACTCGAGTTCTAGACAGGGAAGGTGAACAGGCACTACTGATTTAATTACTGTTAGCAGAGAACATTTCTGTGTGTGGTGTGTGCTTGTGTGTGTAAAAGGATAACCCATGGAAGAGGTGCAGGCAGATTGTGTTCAACTAATTGGAAGAGGGAATTGGGTAGCATTTTCAGGAAGAGATGGATTAAGGGGTATGAGAGAGAGCAACATGTCTGATACATTTATTTTCTTACTTTGGGTACTGCAATAGTTTTCTCTGGTGCTACGTGAAGCATAACGCGAGATACCTGTGGGCTGTGGGGTAAATCTCTGCTCGAGGATTGTGTTCTTTCAGTTGACGGGAGCCTGTGTATTTGGTACAGTCATAGAAGATTGCCTGCGGGCTGGCCGTCGGGCGGGCGAGCGAGTTGTTTGCTGCTGTGTGAGATCTGACCCTTGTCCTTTCTATTCCCAGTGGAAATGATGGAAGAGTTGCACAGCCTGGACCCCAGGAGGCAGGAGCTGCTGGAGGCACGCTTCACTGGCATGGGAGTCGTCAAGGTGAGACTTCACAACCTTCGGTCGTTCAGCCTCTGCCGACACATTGCTCGTCTGTGGGTGACTACAGAGGGAGAGAAGGCAAAGCTCTGGCATGTGGAGCTCTGTCTGGTTTGGGTACCGTAAAGCACAGTACTGTGTGTATCAAACACCAGACTAGCCAAACAAACCCACCGAGGGCTCAGGCTGGACACGTGCTGGGTGGGGTTTCGGAGCTGTCGTTTGTCCCACAATAAATACCTGGTCTTCTCTGATCTCTCGCATTAATCGTCTCTCATTGGCGTTGCTGAGGGCCCAGGTTGTGTCAGTGTAGGGACCTCGTGCTGAAACAGGCTAGTCCCCACTGCAGTGTTGAAATGTTTTAATCTACTGTTTAGATGAGCTGCTCAGCACTCTGATGTGCAGTTCCCCGCCCCACTGCGCACTCCCCTGGAATCGTTAGCCTTTCACCACTCTCGCTGGTTTTGTAACTAAAAATAAGCCGAGCTGTGGTCCCAGTTCACCGATTGGTTTCAAAGGTCAAGGACAGAACTTTAGACCGTAGGTGGTATCTTGTTAGTAAATGGTAACTAATTCACCACGGGTAACAGAGTCTTTGCAGCTCACACTCCTGTACAAGTCACCGGCTGCATAACTGTTTGCCGATCACTCTCCTGCACTGTTTCATGTAGTGCAGAGGTGATTGTCAGTGAGTTTCGAGCAATAATGACTTTTACAAAACAGAACATCATCTGCTCAAGGTGGTTCTCTCACCTCGAGTCTTCTCTCATTCGACATTACTGTCCTGATATTGCTGCTGTGAATAGAACTGTGATTGTTGTAATAATGCTTGCATCTGATACAGCGCCTTCTTACGTCTTTGAGACGTCTCAAAGCGCTTCACAGAATATACTGTAGAGTGCATTGACTGTATATTTTGTGGGCGAAACGCAGCGGCCTACTGCGCACAGCGGTGTCTCCTCGCTTGCGAGGCGAGTGCTCTAACCAATATGCTACAGGACTCCACAATCGGCTCGATTGATGCATGAGCCTCGGTTAGCCGGAGATTGGGGTCTGAGCGGCGTTCCCGAGGGTCAGGTCTGTGTACCTGCAGGATTCACAGGACGTGCAGAGCCTTTAGCCAACGTGACAGTTTGGATCCATTGCCTCAGTGGAGGTTACAGACGAGAGTCTAATTCACACAATGGTGTCACTGACTGACAACAGGTGAAGTTTCTAGTTTTGCTGTTTGTCATAACCCAGTGCGCTGTTTGTTGCTGATCCTTTGTCCTGTTGGGGGAAAATGGTGAGTGAGCTTTGATGGAGCCAGGTTTATTGTGTAGGCGGGTTCTTAGTCCGACAATCACCCGGTCAAGTCAGTTGCAACTGTAAGAGAAATAGGGAGTGAACTGTGAACAAGAATCTGTGAATTGTTTATCATTTTTCGGTCCTTTGTTTCCGATTTGCAGCATTCCTGTTTTTCTGTTTGTCTCTTGCTCTCTCTCTCTCTCATTGGGAACCCGAGGGGTGTTTAATGGGGGAGATGGTGACAGCCAGATGCTCTGTACCTGGGGAGACATAGACTGGAAGTGCGGTTTCCCCAGGGCTGACTTTGTGTATCTCCCAGTTCCTGACTCGGGACTGTGAGGAGGGGGATTCGCAGCAGGTTGCTTGCTCGCTCGCGCTCTCTGACCCCTTGGGAATGAAGGGGGGGTGGGTGGGGGGGGGTGTGAGGGGAAAGGAAGATTTAAACAAAAATAAACCCCAACTGATTAGTTTTCGGTGGCTAAGCTATCGCAGCACCTTGATGACAAAACTTACCAGGAAGAGCCCTCTTCACTGGAAGCTGGTCTGACTTCCAGACATAATAATAATAATAATAATTCTTGCATTTGATATAGCGCCTTATCAAGTCGTTGAGGCTTCTCAACGCTAGGCATGGAATAAACTGTAAAGTGTAGTGACTGTATATTGGGCAAAATGCGGCAGCCAATTGTACACTGCAGTGGATTGAGTGACAACATTTATTTTATTTTTGAAAGGATTATTATCCCCGGAAAAGCGATCCGCCAATCGACTAACAACAGTGTTTAGGTATTGCATTAGCAGAAGCTGCATTGTTGGCAAATCGTCTCGTGAAGGAGTTGGGTTTACTGCTGTGACCTTTTTTTTCCCTTCCATGTTACCAGTAAAGCAGGATGCAGCCTGCCAATGGAAACTCCGGGTCAGGAGCTTGTTATCCAGTCAGCAGTTAGCAACCGCGTAATGTCTAGCCATGACTTCCTGCATGAAATTAGCGATTGTGGGCAGTGCTGTTGTATCTCTTGTCAGCACGTGTGTCGTGCACTGGTTTTAGAACAATAGCAAACAGTGAAACAATAGGATGGCTCAGTGAGAGGGGTTTCTGAGTCGCACTGTGGATCGATCTCCGATCTGTGCTGAGAGTGAGCCAGGTCATCACCGCGAGTATCAACACTCGGTGCCTCTCAAGCGCTCGGGGAGGCTACTTTCCATGAGGGGAGCGATATGTAACGCAAGTTGTTGTTGCTTGGGACGCATTTTGGCAGGGCTCGGGAAGCCACTTGGGGCCTCGGGAACAGTTTCCCAGGAAAAGAGTCTCTAATCGAGTGGTAAAAGAAAAGTGGTGTTTGTTACTCCTGTAACATTTGTTCTTTATGATCACAGCGATATATCTTTTCAGCTAATTTTAAATACACAGAATGGTATGAGTCCTGTAGCTCAGTGGTTAGAGCATTAGAGCACTCGCTTTGCAAGCGAGAGACCTGAGTTCAATCCCAGGCAGGTCAGGGCAAAACCTTGGGCAAGTTTCCTTACTCCACACACCTAATAATAATCCCTTCAAAAACCAAAAACAATAATAAATTGGTCATTTTCAATCTACGACTGTTTGTGGGACAGTGCTGTGCGCAATTGGCTGCCGCGTTCGCCCACAAATATACAGTCAATTCACTTACAGTGTGTTCTGTTCAGCGCTTTGGGACATCCTCCCGACGTGAAAAGCGCTATATCAAATGCAAGGATTATTATTATTATGGTGTTTTCAGAATAGAAATTAGCAAGAATGGTTCTATAACAATAATCCTTGAATTTTATATAGCGCCTTATTACATCTTTGAGACGTCTCAGGGTGCTTCATAGAATATTCTGTATAGTGAATTGACTGTATATTTTATGGACGAAACAATAAGTTCTAGTATACTTTTGTGCCAAACCTCAAAGGAAATGTGCTTTCCTGACAACCTCATGGATCGATGTAAGACTTCACTGCGGTGGATCAATTCCCTTTCCTTGAAGCGAACGATTCTATCCCTGGGCCACACAGTTAACCCGAGAGATCATCTTACAACTGTGTGGGCCTCCTCACTGTAATTGTAGGAAGCCTTGCAAAGTATCCAGTCTCTCATCACGTACTCAACCACAATATTTTGCTCTTGTTTTAGACGCCATTGAACGAATCTTCCAACCAGAGTTTATGCAGCTTGGGATCTCTGAGTGACAAGGAGTCGGAGGTCAGTAACTGTGTTTTCCCTCTATCGGAAGGCTGAGGCATCTGCCGTCCAGCTCGTTAAGTGCTTCGGGACGCCACCCCTCGCAGAAGGGCGCTATGTAAATGCAAGTTGTTGTTGTCGTTCGTGCCCCTTCCCTCCAGATTGGTGGTCGTGTCGGGTCGGGTTGTTGATGTAACATTATTGTCCATTTGGTTCTCAGACACCGGAGAAGAAGCAGGGAGAGCAGCGGGGGAGGAAGCGGAAGGCGGACCTGTACAATGAGGCTAATCAAGGTACCTCGCTCGTCCTGCCGTAATGTCGGTATCCCTCATAGCCGCGCCCCGGAGATGCCTTCTCCCCGCGACGAGCATTTAATTCTTCCTTCGTAACGTTAAGTCTCGCGTCCAGCAGAGGAAAGAAAGCGAGCTCTGGGCTCGCAGCTCGTGGCCGCGTCCAGGCTGTCCCGTCGGCGCTGGCCGTTCGCGGCCCAACTCCCAATAAATAGCGTCGACGCTTTGGGATGGGCTCCTGCTGCAGTTCCGGGAATGACCGGAAGGGGCCACCCAGAGCAGCTTTAGCTGAACCCTGAGCTTTGATGCCGTCCGTCTACGATAATGTTTTGTTTTATAAATAACTTTAGTCAAAAGGTTCAGCTAAACCTCGATGATACTCTCCCGCGTAATGGCAAGTTTTCTCGTTTGGTTGCTTTCCTGTTATTCCTTCTGTCCTGCGGTTCTATTGACTGATTGACTGATTGATTGTTCAGGCTGCTCTGGGGATATTTGGGGGGGGGGGGGGTGATGGAAGGGGTTATGGTACGCCCGACGCTCAGAGCTTTAGAGGTTATCCTCATCGTTCACTAAGTGTAACGAATCTTTACACATGTGCTTACAAAGGGGTTTCTCAGTTTGAGTTCACGATGATTGAAAGAAATGACTGCCTTTGTTCGTATAACACACAAGCTGCTTTTTCTTTTTGCCCTGTTGCTAATTGTGTTTTCCTTGTAGGAAAAGGCACCCCCAGGGGGCATAAAATTAGTGATTACTTTGAGGTGAGTGAAGGGGCTTAAGCCGCTATATTTTAACTCCCAACAGTAAGTGGGAAACCGATTGTTAGTTGATTGGCGGATCACTTTTCCAGCGGTAATAATCCCTTGCAAAAAAAATAATAATAATTGGGTTACTCAATCCGTGACGCTTTGTGGGACGCTGCTGTGAGCAATTGGCTGCCATGTTTCGCCCACGCAATACACAGTCAATTCACTTCATATTATATTATGTGAAGCGCTTTGAGACGTCTCGAAGACGGGATACGGCGCTGTATCAAATGCAAGTATTATTATTATAGCAGAGCTCCTGATACAGGGGAAATCACAGGCGTGGTTGCTTTTGGTCGGGTGGGGGCTGGTGGCGTGGGGAGGGAATGCTGGCGGTGGCATAAGGAATGCACAGGTTCTGGAAGTTTTGGCCATTGACATCCCGTCAGGATTCTCTCTGTAGGAGGCCTCTTAGTGGAAGAGAAAAAATGCACTAAATGAATTCCATCTGCTTAGTACCTTGGCAAGTAGTCATTAATAGTAAGTGAAGAAAACTGAATGAGTTGCACGGAGGTGCACTTTATAGAGAGAGGGGAAATAAAGCACTTTTTCTTTGTAACCCAATATTTTACCATAACAACAACAACAACAATTGCATTCATATAGCGCTTCTCGTATAGGGTAGCGTCCCAGAGCGCTTACACACTTACTCAATTTATTGCATATAATAGTAGAGGGTCAAGTTCGACACAATGGTGGGGGAAGAGGTTGATGTTTGCATACTAGGACAACACAACGTGCGCTTTTGTAAATTGAATTCCCGTGAATCATGAAAATGCATCAAATCTTCCGCGGGTGGAGCAGTACCCGCTGCCTCTCCTCGACTGGCTCCGGCCTCCTACATGTCCCTCGTGCTCTCCGTTCCATCATTCGGCGGCCGCACTTTCAGCCACTGCGCCACGAAACTCTGGAACACTCTTCCTCTATACCTCCGCCTGTCCTCACTTCCTACCCCATCCTCAGGTCGCACTTGAAAACCCTCCTCTTCGACGGTGCCTACGAACACCTCCCACCCCCGGCTCGGAGTGGTGCTCCGCCGCTGTAAATCGCTCCGGGAGGCTACTCCGCGTAAATAAAAGTTTGTCTTGCCTTCTAACCTGCGTCTGTTTGTTCCCAGTTTGCTGGTGGCAGTGGCACAGGAACAAGTCCCGGGCGGAGTGTGCCTCCAGTAGTGCGTTCGTCCCCACAACATTCCTTATCCTACCCCTCACCTTCTGTGAGTATCCGGAGCTCAGCTGTGACCTGCCGTCGTTTGGAGTTCGGACGTGTTCAAATAAACTCGGGTTGTGTTTTGGGGTCGTATGCAAGCGCCTGCCCTGTGTGTTTCTGTCTCTTGTTTTGGTTTGATCACTTTTTAAAAGAATTGTCACTCGATGATTGTACTGGGGTTAAACCCTCAACAGCATGCGACCTTTACACAGGTCCTGTAGCTTAGTGGTTAGAGCACTTGCTTCACACGTGAGGAGGACCTGGGTTTGATTCCCGGGCAGGGTGAAATAATTTTTTAAACCAAAGCTCCCTTTCTTACTTCTATTTGCCATTTGATTTAATAATAGTAATAATCCTTTATGTTGTGAATTTAGATTCGCGGATTCAAAGCACTGGCTGACTTTGTTTTTTTTTTATATTTAAGGTTCAACAAGGCAGCCCTTCATCCCTGGGCTCGGCCAACACTGAGCATTCCTGCATTTCACTAAAGATTAATCTACAACACAAACTGTCCCAGGTATGAATTGCGGTGATGGGGGTCCACTCCACTGGGGGCAGAGAGAGAGAGAGAGAGAGAGTTCTGTCTGTTGATGTCATTAAATCCTCCTGTCCTTTCCCTAGCTGGGTGTTGACACAGTTCACTCCTTTAACACATGTACACGCACTGATTTTTCCCTTCGAAAAATAGTTTTCCTATTTCAAGATCAGTGTTGCAGCGTGTGCCCCTGTTTAATGTGTCCCACAGGCCAGTATATCATCACCACACGTTTGCGTACACTGAATGTTGCGCCGTTTGTGATTGAGTGTCGAGGCTGGGTCAGCCCTGGCCTGTAGTCTACCTCGCTGGCTGTGTGAGTTTATCGATTCTGATCGTGAACTTCACACGCAGCTTGTATCCAAGTCCTTGTCTGTCCAGCTCCTTGGGACAACCTCCGACTTGAAAGGCGCTATACCAATGTAATTTTGTTGTTGTTGATATGACAAAGTCTGATGGACGTTACATGATGTCAGTATATTATAGTCTGCACTGGAGTTTACCATTGACAGCTCATGAGGGCTTAAGCCCTCAAGCCACTGTTACCCAGAGGGATGGCCTATGGTTGTGTTGGGACCTTGTGCTTTAGGGGAAGCTACCTCTTACACCTTACAAAGGAGCGCACTTACAATGATGTGCAGAGTCAGTGCTGAGAGTAAGAGAGAGAGGAGAGCAGAATCTCCCCCCCCCCCCTCCCCCAACAACCTCCCCAAAATGAAGCAGAGGAACCCACTAACAAACCGGATTTGTTGTCCTGCAGACAGACTTCACACTGGAGAAGCTCACAGCCCTGGAAAACAGCAAAAATTCAGACCTGGAAAAGAAGGAGGGGAGGATAGACGATTTACTCCGGGTAAAACACACATTTCTTTCAAGCAAACCCACGGGTCTGGGTTTAGCAACCGAGGAGTAACCTCCATGTCCAGCCTGTTCCTGTTGGCACATGCCGTGCTGAGCTGTGCTGCGCGTTACGTAGTGTATGGGCCCCGTTTAATGTGTCCCTGTGTAACACACTCCTTTTTTGATTGTGCTTATGGTTACCAACCCCCTCCCTCTCCCCCTGACTTGGAGTCAGACTCCACCACTGTTAAGCTCTCCGGGACGCTACCCCACATGAAGGGCACTATATGCTGTAAGTTGTTGTGAGGTGGGGTTTGGCGTTACTGTGAGAGGTCCCCACCACGACGTGCAAATGCCCCAGCCTTTTGTTTTTGCTCAGTGAATTCTCATCAAGTTCCTTTCGCAACAATCTTCAATTCACTTTGGGAGCTGTTTTGATGGTGGTTGTGTTATTGACTGCTCAAGACTGACTGACACTTTGCTTTGCAGAACCTTTCCTTTCCCCGTCCGTGCGTTGAGTACGAAGTAGATTGGCTTAAACGTCAGTCAAACCTGCACTTTAATTATGTGGAGACAAGTTCATGATTCAAGCACTTTTTTTTTAACTTTTAAGCTGTTCTGCCGTTTATATTTTAATTTATGGGTTTAGACTCTTATTTTAAACAGTATCTTTTGCTGTGAATCAGCAGTGAGTTGAACAAGTGACCATTGTGCTTCACTTGTGCAGTGAGCGACCCTCTAGAGACTGTGAAACATTGGTAGTTTGGCTGAAAACTAAACCTGAATCGTTTTTCTCTCTTGTGAAGAGAGGCGATCAGGAAGAAGTGTTTGGAGGCCAGAACCTTTGAGTGTTTTTATGTAGGCGGGGGCTCGTGAACCCTTGGTAGTACGGGAGGTGCTGCTAGCGAATAGGCCTACCGGCCCCAGACCCCATGGGCAAACCTCCTCCCTCAACCACATCTACACCCCCTCCCACATCAATCCGACCCACTCCCCCCCCCCCCCCCATCTCGCACATTCCTCTGCCAATTGGCCCCTCCATAGCGCCCGACAAAATGTGTCCGCTCCCTCTCCAACAAATGGTTTGCAAGTGATACTGTCTGGCTTTTGGCCGGATGTGTGTGTGTGGTGGGGGGCGGGGGGGGGGGGGGGGGGATGGATTGCGAAGAGAGCTGCAGCTGAGAGTATGAATTTGCACATGAATTGTGAATGACCCGACTGTTTGAGGAGCCTGTGCGCTGTCTGAACCCGGCAGGTTCCGGTGAGCCTGGCTGGGGCTGGGGCTGGGCCAGGAGGTGTGGCTGCCAAAGTCAGAGGGGTGTGCCTGACAGGAGAGTGGTGGGGTGGGGTGGGGGGCACACTGTGTGTGTGTGTGTGTGCGGTGATCGTTCATTCAGTTACAGTCCTCCAAATTGGTATTCACTTCCTGGCTGTTTCTGGAATCTTGCTTTGCAAGTTGGCTGCCGCGTTTGCCTGGAAACATACAGTCACTGACCTTAATGCCAATTACATGTGGTGAAGTACTTGAAGACGTTTTTAGGGATTGTGTCAAACGCAGGGACTATTTTGTTATATCGACCTATTGCTTCAATAAGACCTAAGGGGATATTTGTTTTTGACGTGTTCGTGTTCAGTCGTTAGTCTCAGAATTGTCAGAAACCTCGACCCCAGTTTTGCGAACAGCCTGCGCACCCCCCCCCCACTGTACACCCACACCCCCAGCCCCACACACGTGCACTCTCTCACACACACACACACACACACACACACACACACACATACAGGAGTGGGTTGAATGAACTTTGCAACCCAGACTGGAATTTTCTTTCAGGAGCCCTTTCCTAACAAACGTCTGCTCTGTGCATCATTGTGTGAGCGGGTTCTCTAAGGAGAAATTATTCACAGCGGAATGCTTTTAGGTTGCTCAACTCCACCTTTCCACCCGTGGTCCCGATCATCGCAGGCTCCTCACCGTCGGGAGGATGTGAACCTTGTTTTGCTTGGGGATATTTTCCCTTTTAATAAGCTCCTTGTGCCAGCCTTTGGGCCACGTTGGGACCTCTTGGAACAGGCTTTGTTATTGGTGCCTCGTTGTGTTTTTGTTGTGTTTAACAAAGAAAACAGTGTCACACAGTTCCTTTCTCCACCCCCCCACCCCCCACCCCCTCCTTCTGATCAATATTAGTCAGTGCACAGCAACCATATTGTAAAGGCAGCTCAGGTGCCTATTGTACTCTACCATGGTCTTGCCAGTACAGCGTGATACTGACTGATCTCTCTCTCGCACGCTCGCTCACTCTCTATTTCAGGCGAATTGCGATTTACGAAGGCAAATAGACGAGCAACAGAAAATGCTTGAGAAATACAAAGAACGGTTAAATAAATGTGTGAGCATGAGCAAAAAGCTGCTAATAGAGAAGGTAAGCCAGGACGCCAGAGGCGGATGTGGTTGTAATGCTTTTAAACGAGAGACGACGGAATGGTCCGTATTAAACCCTTTTCAGTTGGTCTCTCTCCCCGTGTCCTTGGCCTGTGCCCAGGTTTGGCCACGTGTGGTGAAAGCGATTGAATTTATTATCCGTGACAAGACGCCCTGCCTCGCTCCCCACAAGCCATGTTATCTGCTGGCTCTGGTATCTACAATCTACTGTATTGTAGACAGGACCAAGGAGAGGCAGGACGGAGTGGCCACTTGTGTGGTTGTGGTCCTTCCTCCCTCCCTGCGGTCATCTCGAGAGGCCAGGCCTCGTCATAGCCATGGCAGAGCAATGAGGGACGGCAGGGGTCTGCACTAGCTTTCTCCTTTCACGCTGCTCTCCCCCAAACCCACTCCCCCCCCTACCCACGCTGGGTAAGTGCTCTGGGATCCTGTGTGAGGAGCGCTGTATAAATACAAGTTGTAGTTGCCCGAGCTTTATGTTATTTTGCGACGTCGGTGGTGAGAGTATCGTTTGTGCTGGAGTTTAAACCGTGAGGAGCTGGATGTTTTCAACTTGCTTTGTTTTCTCGTTTCCCCCCTCCACCCCACCTCGCTCCCTCTCTGTGCAGTCGAAACAGGAGAAGCTCGCCTGTCGGGATAAAAGTATGCAGGACCGCCTGCGTCTGGGCCACTTCACCACCGTGAGGCACGGAGCCTCCTTCACAGAGCAGTGGACAGACGGATACGCCTTTCAAAACCTTATCAAGTAAGAGCAGGCCGTGGGGCTGGGGGCAGTGTTTGAGGTGGGCTTTTGTGTTGGTCAGGGGGTCCGCCCTCTGGCTTGACTGCCTTTGGGAGTCGGGGAGAATTGTCCTGGGATTTGTCTCCCTCTTTAGCGTTAAATCAGCTTTGTTTTCTTTGAACTTACATCTCCGAACTTATTGCGTCTCCCTTAAAACAGCCCAAACATCCAACTGTATCTTGGAGGCCAAAAACCATCCTTCTGTTTTCCATCACACGTCATTTCCTCCGTGCGGTTTTCCCCCCCCCGCACCACCCGTTCCTCCTGTGGTGGCTGGTGTTGTGATGTCCCTGACCAGGCACTTTAGCAGCAGATTTTCTGAAACTTTGACATCCTGTGTGTGTGTGTGTGTTTTTTTTCAATACAGACAGCAAGAGCGAATAAATGCACAACGCGAGGAGATCGAGAGACAGAGAAAGCTGCTAGCAAAACGCAAGCCCCCGGCCATGGGACAGATGCTGCCAACCAACAACGAGCAGAAACAGAGGAAGAACAAAGCGAACGGAGCGGAAAATGAAACGTGAGTCAGCGGGGGAGTGAATCTGTGGCAAAGAGCCGGCGTTTCGGAGTGAACGGGAAGTTGCTGACGCGGTTTGTTCCTCCGTACTATTCCCAGTGCTCGGGTTCGTCGCTCGGTGATTATCTGTACGAGTGGTTATGATATAAATTGCTTTCTCCCGGTCGCTGTTGTTGATTTAGCTTCTATTCTGAATGGGATTTGACACGTTTGTTTTCTTCCCAGGTTGACTCTAGCAGAGTACCACGAACAGGAGGAAATCTTCAAGCTAAGATTAGGACATCTAAAAAAGGTGGGCTGGCTTGGCTTTCTCCTTCTCTAGGCTGTTATACTCGGGACCAAAGAAAGCACTGACTGCATCTCGGGGACCCTTGATCTTGCGAAAACATTTAAGAGCTTTAAGCGAGGCAGTGAACGTGTGCTGGATAGGGAGCTGTGTGTATACAATAGGCAATGTTGTGGATTCACTAGGTTTTGCGGGACTGACACAGCGGGTGAAGGGCGCTGTATAAATGCCCGTTGTCGTTGCACTGTACGTCGCACACAGGCTGTTCTGCCATTCTGTCACTATTCTCATCATCCGACCTACGTCCTTCCCATCTCTTTACTGTTTGGCTTTTTGAGCGAATGTTCTCAGGCCAGGCGTACGTACGTTCATCACATGTCTGAAAGTTGTAAAATGTGGATTGTTTCCAGGTCACAGAAGCAATATGTAAAAGCGCCTAATGTCCATTAAGTTGCTTTTATTTTTGCCTTTTGTACTGAAAGATTGTCACTCATCGTTGTCCATTGGGAAAGTGTCCTGTAGTGTTTTGCTTGGAATCTCCGGACGTGACCACTGACCTTTTCCTTGTCTGGGGCAGGAGGAGGCTGAGATACAGGCAGAGCTCGAGAGGTTGGAGCGAGTTCGCAATTTACACATCCGAGAACTCAAGAGGATCCACAATGAAGACAACTCACAGTAAGTCAGCAATCCCGAGTCCCTGAACTGGGGAGGGCTTGTCCACGGGGGAACAGGGTCAATGTTCTCAGGCCAGGCTATGGCGATCACATGTGGGAGGATCCCATTCAGGCCTCAAACATTCTGTCGGATCATGACTGAACTCCAATTACCCGCCTTTGTCCCATATCCCTTGATACCCTGAACTAACAAACATCTTTCCACCTCATTCTTTAACGTGACTGGATCCGGCATCCACAGCTGTTTGGGGAAGGCAGAGAGTTCCAGATTTTCACTAGCCTCTGTGTCTTGTCTAAAAGATGGAAAGCACAGATTGTTTCCAGCTATGAGGCAGGGGTAGTTACTGTTATATCTGCCTCCTGCACACACAGCAAGTACACACAAACCTCCTTTCTCATTTCAACTCTTCCCACCTCCTTGGCTCCACTTTGATTGCACCCAAGGTCACATTCCCTCTTACCACTTCATGAGATTGACAAGGAGTTAAAGTTCGCATGCGAAAATTCTAAACACTGACGTTACCTGTTTTCGCTTGGGTCAACTTGTTGTTTTTGTTTCCAACAAAAAATCTTTTGGAAACCTTTAAACTTGCTGCGTCTGGGGCTCTCTTTCCCCCTGAGTAAGTAATATTGTGGGCACCAAAAGGCAACTGGCAACGAGCAGGAGAACAGAAAATTGTCTGCCTCTCGCTGGTTGTGTTTTCAGGAGTGTACTTAATTTAGTTTGCAAATCTGGAACTCTCTCCTCCCCCGAAAAAGGCTGTGGATTCCTGGATCGATTGAAAATTTTCAAGACCGAGGTGGATAGATACACGTTAGGTCAGGGTATCGGATATGGAGCAAAGGCGGGTGATTGGAGTTGAGGTACAGATCAGCTGTGACGTTTTAGAATAGCGGAACAGGCTCGAGGGGCTGAATGGCCTCTTCCTGTTCGTATGTTCCTGTGTTAGGATGCCTGAGATCCTGTAGGTGGAGTGCTTGCCTAGTTAAAATCCACAGGCGTTTTCAGAGGTCTGTTATTTCCAACTCTCTTCATTTGGTGTGGGTAAATCTGAAGTTTCCCTCTGCACAGTGTAACAGAAGCTCGATTACCTCCCAGAACAACAATCCACCAAGACGCCCATCCAGGAGAACTGTGAAGGGGTGGGTGGTGGTGGGGGGTGGGGGGTGTGGTCGGGGGAACCGAGGAGGCTCCTAGTACTATGTTCGGTGGGTTTTTTTTCACAAAGGAGACAAGCATACTTGTACTGGTGTCGCTTTCCCAGCAGTGTTATCACAAGTGTAAATGACGCCTGAGAGGTTCAGGAGTCTTGGTTTGTTGACGTGTGGGAGTTGGTAAATCGCACGTATCGCAGTCCATTCTGTGCCCAGTAACTGAGGAGCTTCTGCTGCTACTTGGCACCACGCCAGGACTCCGCTGAATGTTAGGCCTGTGTGAAGTTAAAAAAGCCTTCATTCAAAAGTTATTTTATTTGGGAGTCAGCTTTCACGAAGCTTCTTGCAGTCGTTTGAGAGGGGCCGAAGCGAGCGCGTTGAGCAGTTAGCGCTGTGAGCTTAGGTTTGTCACAGAATCGCTGCTTGCCTGTGGGTCGCTGACTGAATTAGTCGGATAAGATGGAGCAGATAAGAAATATAGTCGTGACTATCCCGGGGAAGGAGTGGAATCCGCTGAGAGAGACTGGCTGGTTTTGTTGAGCGCAGTACCCTGGGTTTACCTGGTGTACAGGATTCCGTGGAGCTCGGAGTCAGTGCTGCTGCTCCGGTTCATTCTGATGTCGTTCAGACAATCCCTCTCCCCGCCACCCCACCCCCTCAACCACGACTGCTGTTTGCTGCCCCTCGTTGGGTCACCTCCACGTTTGGGGACAGCCTTCGGGTAATCCGGCTTCTGGATACTCCGGGTTCAGATGGAGTTGCTGTGCAATGCGAGGGACATCACATGAGCTGTGAGACTGGGCGCGAGGGTGAAAGGATGAGATCAAGCGCTCCGAGACGCCATCCGGCGTGAAGGGCGCTATATAAATGTGAGTTGTTGTTGGTTAAGGCCGACGAAGATGTGGAGATGTCCCCAAACCCAGTTTCTTATTGCAGGTTTAAAGACCACCCTACGCTGAACGACCGGTATTTGTTGCTGCACCTACTGGGAAGAGGCGGCTTCAGTGAGGTTTACAAGGTACGTCTTCACGAGCGGAGATTAAAATGTGGGTCTCTCACACACCCCCACCCGGCCTTTTGGGGGGTAATTTCTCCCGAGTATCGGAAAGGAATGAAACCTAGTGAAATGTGATACATTTTATCGTCTGATCACTAGGCTCAGCAGATGCTAACGCTGTTATTAACTGCAGCCTGTTGCTTCGGATTTTGATCACTGTTGCTCTCGGATAACTCCTGTCGTAAAGCGTTCTGTTCCGTGATTTTCCTGCGCTAGACAAGTAACCGAGGAGCTCTCCCGGACCGGATCAGCATAGCCAAGGCTAGAGGTAGTTCTGAGGTCGTGTCTCCGCAAGCACAAACAGTCTAGCTCTGTACTGCAGACTACAAGGCATCTCAGCTCCTTGTGCTTCTGAGTGTCCTGTCCATTGCGGGATGTGTCCATACTACAATTCTGGGCTATTCCTGCATTTTCTTTCTCTTCGGGAGAAGTTGAAGAGCTGGGATTGGGAGGGAGCACGCACACGCTTCTGGTAAATGAGGGCTGTTGGAGAGCTGCTTTTTTTTTTTCCTCCTGAGAAGGTTTGTCAGCTTTTAGTCATTATTTCCGTCTCTTGCTTCCAATGTTTTTGATAGGCGTTTGATTTACAAGAACAGAGGTACGTAGCGGTAAAGATTCACCAGTTAAACAAAACCTGGCGGGAAGAAAAGAAAGAGAATTACCACAAGTAAGTGCTGTCTGTCTCGCACAAGCCCTGCTCTTTGAACAGACCCAGTGCTATACTGAGGCATGGTCTGTGATAAGTTCTTTTACCTTGTACTAAACAGTAGAACCAGAGGACACGACCTGCGTTTGAAAGGGGGGGGTAACTTCTGAACAAATCTATGGAAACACTGCTTCAGTGAGCGAGTTGTAAATTTATGGACGAAGGGTCGTGGATCCAAAACGTTGACTCACTTTCCTTTCTCTATTGATGCTGCCTGACCTGCTGAGTTTTCCCAGCTCTCTCTGTTTTTGTGTTAGTAAATTTATGGAACCGGGGGACAGTGGAAACAGAAAGTGTTGTTTGTTTGTTTGTTTCAAAAACAAATGAGATAGATTTCTGTTAGAAAATAATATCTGGGGCTGCAGTTTACAGTTTGAGACACAACATGTCAAGCGACAGCCAGGATGGTGGAAGGGGAACGAGATGGATTGGTCTTCTTTCACCAAACAAATTCTTATGTTCTAACGCCACTGGATTCAACTATCTGGTTCTGGCAATGTACAATTGGTGGTCCATTACTGGTGGCTTTGTGATGAAGGTTAAAGAATGAACCAGGGTTTGATGGTTTAGAGCGGAGAGCTGGACAAAACAAAGGATCTTCTTTCTTAAAAATAATAATAATATGGTCACTCAATCTACGAGTGTTTGTGGGGCACCGCTGCGCACAATTGGCTGTTGCGTTTTGCCCACAAAATGCGCTTTACAGTAGATCCCGCGAAGCACTTTGAAACGTCTCAAAGATGTGATAAGTTGCTATATCAAATACAAGTACTATTATTAACTTATTTAGATTCTGTAAATCACCTTCCCGGCTGTGAGCCCGTTATTCCCACGTTAGGATGTTCCTCACATTGACTCGAGTGCCTGCTGTACTCTGGCCTCCGCACTGGCTAACAACTGTTCTGTTCCCAGACACGCCTGCCGAGAGTACAGGATTCACAAGGAGCTCGATCACCCCAGGATCGTCCGGCTCTACGACTATTTCTCGCTGGATACAGATTCGTAAGAACTTTTATTTGTAATATTTGCGTAATAATACAAGGTCTTGGCAGTTGCTGGTGCTCTCACTGCTTACGTTTGCTTATTGAGTTTGTCACTTGAACCACTTACCAGTTTGATTTGATTCGTGTAACTGCTGAAACCTGTCTCACCCGACCTGCTCCATTGTACCTGGTAGTACAGGTACTAGTACCGACTAGTAACTTGTCATCCTGTAGTTTCTACAGCAGGCCGTGCTGTCAGTTATGGCTCTCTTGTCTGCGTGCTGTGCCTGAAGATTGCACGAGCTGCAGAAGATTAAAGAAACTTTACATGTTTCTGTGCGGATCACTCTGATCAGCCCGAGCACGTGGAAAATATTAAGCCCGTTCTTTAAACAGCTGTTGAATTGTTTTAACCTTGTGTGTTATTTACCCTGTCTGTGGTGTAAATACACACTGACACGTTGTATTTGTAGGAATCTGAGCTATTAGTAGGACCCGGAAGGGCAGACCAGTCACTGGGGGCAGGGAATCCTCCCATTCAGCTCCTGTTAACCCTGCAAGCCAAAGCGCTAACAGGTAGGATGGTCCTAGCTGGACAACCAGTGGGAAGGGTTGCCAGACAGCAATATCACTGACAAACTGTGTGGGTTTAGCTGGTTAGATCCAGCAGTTACCCCAACGCACACTCTGGGTTTCCCCCCAAACCTTGGCTCTTGCCAACCTGCGCTAATACTTTCGGGAATTAGGTAAGCAGGGGGCATCCCTCCAGGAAGAGAGAGAGAGCGAATTTCATTCCAACAAGTTAGCTCTGGGATTTCCACGTGTACGTGGAATGTGTGGAACTCTTCAGTTTGGTTTGGAGACTCTTAAGCAATGGTGACGGGTTTTCCATGTGTGTTAGACGTCCGGCGCTGTGTTTTAAGCGGTTGCCAACAAAAACTGATGTTGATCTCCAGGTTCTGCACGGTGCTCGAGTACTGTGAGGGCAACGACCTGGACTTCTACCTGAAGCAGCACAAGCTGATGTCCGAGAAGGAAGGCCGCTCCATCATCATGCAGGTCGTCAACGCTCTGAAGTATTTGAACGAGATTAAACCTCCCATCATCCACTATGACCTCAAGCCAGGTGTGTGCTTTGGTGAAGCGGTAATCTTAACTAACGATGGACGTCGGAGGTGCCGGAACGTATTCTGTTCCCATCTGTGCAATGTTTCATCTAAATAATCGGAACGGGGAACAAGTTGACCTCTTTGGGCCTACGACAGCGGCTTTTCTAACAAGACGCAGCACTCATAAAAGGGCACCGGATTCTGAGCGCGTTTCGTGACGGCAAAGTTAACTCTCGTGGTTTTGTTAAATGCTTTGTTGCTGCGAGAGGTTTTTAACCCAGACTTCTTGGACAACAAACAGCTTGGGTTTATACAGCTCTCTTCGCGTGGGTTCGCATCTCGGAGCGCTGAACAATGGGGTAGTTTGACTCCGAGCCAGGGAGTAAGGCATTGGATCTTCACAGCCCTGCTTGCCCGTGACTCAACTCTGGTTCTCTCCTCTCTCTTCCTCTCTCTCTCTCTCTCTCAGGCAACATCCTCCTAGTGAATGGCACGGCTTGCGGCGAGATCAAGATCACGGACTTCGGATTGTCTAAGATCATGGATGACGACAGTTACAATTCGGTGGACGGGATGGAGCTGACCTCACAGGGAGCGGGCACGTACTGGTGAGGTCCTCGGGCAGAGCGGTGGGATTCCTGGCTGCTAAACCAGCAATCAGAACGATCGAAGAGCTAGGGTCTAGCTGTACAGAGAGAGAGAGAGTGTCCTTTACTTCGTAAAGGTCCATGAGCTTCTGAAGGAGTTTAAAGAGTGAAAGCTTTCCTCTCGCCGGCTGCTAAATCGGTGATCAGTGGACACGAGTACAGGATTGTGAAGGGGAAGAGTTGAGGGGAAGTTTAGAAGTTATCGAAAATAATTTAAAAATGAAGTTTAATAATCCCTACACAAAAACTTAATATTAATAATTCGGTCACTCATTCCACGACTGTTTGTGGGACACTGCTGTGCACAATTGGCTGCCCCGTTTCGCCCACAAAATACACAGTCACTACACTATACAGTGTATTCTGAGAAGCGCTTTGAGACGTCTCGACGACATGATAAAGTGCTATATCATATGGAAGTATTAATATAATTATAAATCAATGTGTCTTTGAAGATAAACCTATCATAACATGCTATTGTTTTGAGTGGCGAGTTGGGCTGTTGTTTCTCTGACGAACGCTATGTTTTTCCTCACCAGGTATTTGCCACCAGAATGTTTTGTTGTTGGCAAAGAGCCTCCGAAGATCTCCAACAAGGTGGACGTGTGGTCTGTGGGTGTTATTTTCTACCAGTGTCTGTATGGACGCAAGGTAAAATCCTGCCCTTTGTGTCGTGAACCCTGCATTAGGTAAATGAAAGAAAATAATAATTTGGTCGCTCAATCCATGACTGTTTGTGGGACACTGCTATATGCAATTGGCTGCCGCGTTTCACCCACAAAATATACAGTCAATTCACTTTATAGTATATCTTGTGAAGTGTTTGAGATGTCTTGAAGAAATGATAAGGTGCTATATGAAAGGATTATTATTATTATCCTGTGACATGTTGGCTGGTGAGTCGAGATGAGGTGAGGGTCTAAAACATGAGGTGGAGCTGAAGTGATGTGATCGTGTGATCAGTTTATGCACTGATGATAAAGGGCACAGAGGGTGTGTTACTGGTTTTGTTTGACTCGCTTTTCCCTCCCTCTCTTCTCCCCTCTCTTTCCCCTGGTCTCCACCCCAAAGCCGTTTGGTCACAACCAGTCGCAGCAGGACATCCTCCAGGAAAATACCATTCTGAAAGCCACGGAGGTGCAGTTCCCTCAGAAGCCAGTGAATAGCGCGGAGGCAAAGGTAAAGTGTTTGTAGTTAAGTATTTCAGAATGCTGAGATCTCCCCGTGAGTCAGGGTTTAGTTAGGCCAGTGATGTCCTTCTGCTGCCTGCTATGTGCTTCATTTCACCTTTTAATTCAATCCCACAAAAGTTTGGACTGAGATGTGATTTTACTTTCTCTAATGAAGAACATAAAACGCTTCACCGAACTGCTTGAGCATCTCTCAGTGCTGTTCCGAATTCTCTCAGACGTTTTAGCGAGGAGGGGGAGAGAGAGAGACTTCAAAGCTAAGTCCGCGTGAGACCGAGCCTGAAGCTGTGCTGAGAGCAGCCTGTTACTCTGGTCCTGGTGTGCGCTGATGGCTTGAATCAGCTAATTGCACACTTTCTTGGGCCTTTGCCCAGTGTTGCGCTCCCTTCGCAAGGCCATTCAGCCACGGCTTTCCTGCCGTTCTGACACCGGCCCAGCTCGGCTCTGGGATAATGAGAGCTCGCGCTCACTGTGGTGCGAGGGGGCTTGTTCAGGGTGGAGCGCTCCGTTAGCACGGCCTTGGCTGGGCCGGGGGCGGAGGAGAGGAGCATGTGTGATCCTGTCTGGATCGTGTGCGAAGGCTGGAGGAGGGAGCGGTCTACGTGCTCCCAAGACTTCAGGCTCAAGGCCAGGTACAATTTCAGTCTTAAATCGGAAGCGCTCTCCAGGTGTCCAAAGCAAACGTCCCCGGAACCTGACCCGGTAACTTGCTGCTACAGCAACTGTGACGTGTCGAGAGAGAGAGACTTTTGCGTGTTATAGACGTCTAAACATAAAGCGCTACCCGCTGCGGAGATCCTAAATGACGGTGCAATTTCATGGGATAAGGAATTTAGTGATTTGGTCCCTCAATCCATGACTGTTTGTGGGACACTCGTTCCTGTGTGCAACTGAGCTGCTGGACAGTCAGCCACAATATGCAGTCAGTTCACTTTACAGTGTGTCTGTCCTGTGAAGCACTTTGAGACGTCTCGAAGATGTGCTGTATCAAATGCGAGGATTATTATTATTTAACGGGTGTATAATTCTCCCGCAGGCGTTCATCCGTCGCTGTCTGGCCTATCGCAAAGAGGATCGGATCGATGTGCAGCAGTTGGCAAGCGACCCTTACTTGATGCCTCACATCAGGAAGTCCGTGTCAGCCGCCCCGGGGGTGATCGCGTCGACCTCGACCCCCTCTAATAACAGCGGGTCAAACTGAGCACAGCGCTCTGGGCGATCGATCGTACGTTACAGACAGGAGCGGGGAATCCGTGCTGGTGGGGAATGCTGACTTTCTGCCAAGAGGGAGGTTGGGGTGGGGGGATTGCGGCGTGAGTGCGTGCGTTCTCCTTGTTTGCCCACCCGTGGGGGGGAAAACCCCCCCACCCACTCATCGCTGACTCTCCAGAGAGCTGGGCCAGAGGCCACGGGTGGGGGGGGGGTCCGGGCAGCAAGGCAGACTGTGGGCGGAGGACATGCACCCGAGCCCGTGACTGGCGGTTGCTGCTGAGTGGACAGTGATCGCAATCTGTGTGTCCTGCTCCTCGTGTCGCAGCCAGTGCAGACCCAACGCTGGAACTGAAGGTGGCTTCGTGCTGGAGGCCAGACAACAAGCTGGATGTCTATATTTAATGCTTCCCCCCCACCCCCCTTTTCTCCCCATCCTCTTCAGAATATGAATGAATAACATCTACTTCAAGTTAAGCACAAATACTAACCTGGGGAGTCGACACTTCCAAAGGTTCCTGTTTGCCTGTAGGTGGCAGTCGTGTTGAGTTTTAATTGGAACATTGATAGATACCCTAAATAATTGGACCGTCCTTCCTCTCTCTCTCTCTCTCTCTCTCTCACTCTCTGTCTCCTGCGCACCAGGTTCTTACCCTTCCTCTCTCTGCTTCCTCTTTCCCTCTTGTTTGGCACGGTTACCGTGTTGCTGATCTGCAGCGGGTGAGGGACGGGCGGAGCAGTGCCAACAGTAAGACCTGCGAAGGGGCGCAACTGTTGTCGGCTTTGCGTTAGGACCAGCTGCGGGTTCGTGTGCTTTTTATTATTAAAAAAAAAATCTGACCTGTGATCCCTCTCACCAAAAAAAAAACTTACCTGGCCGCATATCTCTTGCTCTCTATCTCGCTCGCTCGCTATTTGGGTGAAGGCTCCCGTGGGCCGAAAAGAAGCAACTTGTCTACATTTTTGCCGTGTAACAATGATCCCGAATTTTTGTTTGAGAAACCCTAGGGGGTTGGGGGTGGGGGGGGTGGACTTCTGTTGGCCACAGCGTGAGTGAGTTTTCGAGTGAATTTTTATTTTTAAAAAGTGGTGGCGAGTTTAACAAAAATCTAAATAAAGTACCCATCTCCCTCACCCTCAGGCCACTCGGGTGGAAATTCCCCCGGGAGTTTACTCTCGGACCGAGAACACGAACGCGGCCTTAACGCAAACGTGACTGCGTGAGAGGTATCAGCGTCAAGACATCCTGGGCAGCACGTGACGACCGATTGCTATTTTTGGCAAAACGGTAGCTTTCTTTTTTTTCGGTGGGTTGGTGGGGGGGGGGGGGCCACATTTCAATGAACATGACACGTGCATGTTCAGGGTCAGTTGTAGGAATGTGTGTGTGCGTGGGGGCTGGTGGGGTGGTGGGGGGGGGTAGTAAAAGAAGAGGAGGGTGGTATGGGGGCGGGGGTTTCAGATGTTGAGAAAATTTCTGCCAAATCTCGTGTGCAAGTAAAAGACTTGCAGATGCTTACAGAGCCCTTCTGCTGTGCAGTATTGTTACTCGATTGACATTCTAAGACGCCGCTAATTCTGCTCTAACTGCCGCGAGTCCGAGTGAATATCCATTGTCCAAACCGGGGGGTAATTTATTCTCCGATTTTTTTTTAAAAATAAATGCTTCCCACCCTCTTCCCTGACCTCTAAGTTGGGGTGCGTCTCTCTCTACCAATCCTCCTTTACCCTCTTTCCTCCCCCCCCCCCCCCCGCGTAAACAAATCCACAACAATCCACTTTTCAGTGACTGCTTATTTCCTCCTCAATACTTCCCCTCGTCCGAAGATTGGGAGAGACCATTTGGCCGGTCAGATTGAAGCTGTGATGTGCATGACGCTGATTTGTAAATAGATGTTAGAAAAAGGTCGGGACTATTGTACTTTTTTGTTACTGCTATTAGAGAGGGGAAAGCTTGGAGCTCGCGGATATTTAGTTGGAGGGAGTGTGTGTGTGTGTGTGTGTGTGTGGGCAAAGCTGTTGAGTAGTTGATATCAATTTGGCCCAAGTATTTGATCACCAAATAGCACGGGCGTCCTGCAGAGTTGGCAGCAAAACGTTTTGGGGTTTGGTGATGCTTTTTCACACGACTCCTGATCTTTCTGGCGGTCTGTTTATTGCCGATGTTAAGGTTCGATCGTGATTGCAAAAGACAAACATTCTGTCACTTAAGTTTTGAGAAAACCGAGAGATTTGGGGAAGTTATTTTTGTGAGGATTTTAGTTGCTTCCTCAAGCGAAGCTGGGCCTTTCCAGCCCCCTCTCTCTTCCCCCCGCCACCCCCACCTTTCCCAATACTCATATACCACTAGTTAAAACTCTTATCAGCGTAATTACTCCAAGCTAATAATTATTCAGTTTCCATGTGTGCAGGAACTTTCAGCCACAGACTTTTACCTTCAGTTTCTTGTCATTGCAGCTAGTTAAACACTGTGAATAACTCATGGTTTGGTTAATCTCAGACCAGTTAGGAACCACTCCCTTGTGGTGGTTCCTCTCTTTAGAACTGTTCCATTTGGAATTTTTTTTTATTTTTTACAAAAAACACACCTCTATTTAACTGTGTATGCTGTAGTACTATGATGGCCATTCTGGTTTGAACTGCGTTTAGCCTATTCTGAGACTACAGCTTTACTTTAATGTACAAAACAAAAGAAAGGGGCATTAATGAGACGAAACTGCTACGCCTATTTCTTTTGAATCAAAAGGAAAGGTACAGCGGAAGGCCCTGGAGTATTTGTGACTGTGAATACATAGTTGGCTAATAACAGGTCTGTTGAAAAGGGTTGCTGTGTATACTATATTTCAATGAGTTGTACTGCTTTGACCGTGCTAGGGATTTCAAACCGTTAGACGTCTGGTTATAGCTCCTGCGGTGTAGAGAATGTTTCTTTTATTCAACTGCTAATAAATTGTACCTCATAACAAATCTGCAGCATCTCTGAACATCTCTTCTGCCGTCCGAAACCCAAGCCAAGTTTGACTTGAGACAAAGGAAGGAAGAAAAAGAACTTGCATTTCCAATCGTGCTTATTGTATAGAAATGTCTCGGGGCCTCACAGGTAAAATGTTAATAGTCAAACACGGCAGCTGTTTGCACCCAGTGAGTCCCCCCTCTAAACAGACATGAGGCTGTCTCTACAACCTGCAAATTAGTTCTGACCATATCCAGAAAATTGAGAGTCCAAATGGAAACCACGGTCATAGCCGAACTCTCCACGGACGTGCGAGCCAACTCGGCCTCGCTAACTTCAATTTGTTTTTACACAAGAAGTGGTCAGAGAGTTTCAAAGTAAGTAATAAGGCTGTGTTTATTGTGCAGAATTCAATTCAAAAGCCAGTTCCTAAAAGTTGTCAACAGAAAATAGCAACTGGAGATTTATTAATAGTGTGACTGCTGCATTTGTGCTGAGGCATCGACCCCATTCAGAGATTCCAATCACAACAACTTGCGTTTTATAGCGCCCTTCACGCGGGTTAGTGTCAACAAACACAACGTGTAAAGTGGGGTGAGAACAGCCAGCGAGGTTCTGCCCTCCTGAGCCCATTGGTGCGATGATTCTGAACTGGAAGCGGTGCACAGAGAGTTCTGTTAAGAGTCTAAATTCATTAGGAAAGTAGTGCCCGGGGCTTGGGCCATTGGACCATCACTGATCAAGAGGAACAGAATTACTGCAAAGCGAGCAAGTTAGAAATGGTGGAAGAAAAAGTTGGATGAGCTGGAAGTCAACTCGTGACCAGTCTGGCTCCGATCACTGTAAAGCAGTGCAGATGTGAGTGACCAACTTCTCAATTGTAACTGCTGGGGATCTGGGCCATGGGTTTGGCATTGAAAACTGGTCAACTTGTGTTGCTCTCGGTCTAGAGTCTAGTAAAGGATTCCCTTGTTCTAATGGTACAAGGTTACCGACGAGTTGGGCAAACACAGGGGTTAGATGCTGCGTATCATTTGTTTGCAGAATAATGATGCTCATTAATAACTAGATGCCCATGACGTGGCCAGAGCTGGGCATCTCGCCAATTCCTTCCCAGCCTTAGAAATTTCCAAACTTGTGCTGCCACCGAAGCCACGGGAGGTTGGTGCATCCACTTCCATAAGAGTTTGCAACCCGTGTAACTCACAGTCCTGGCCACGAAGCTGGCAACAGGAGAATGCCGGTGGTTGATGAGGAAACTCTGCAAGATTACTGCAAACGTTCCTGTTGATTGCCCCAGCGGTGGGTTTTATAAAGCTACAAGCCTGTTTGTGTTGTTCACTCTGAGCTTCACCAAAATAAATGTCTCCAAACTTCATTCTTCGCTGTTGTATTTAGTCTTCTCTGCTTTTCTCTGAATCTGACGTCCTCCCGGCGTGAAAGACACTGCACAAATGTCCTTTGTTGTTTCAGTGTCTTGACGTTGGTTCAAGTTGGCTGGTTGAGGGAGTAGGATATTTATTCAAGCAATGGGTTAGAAACCATGGAAGCCTCTCAGACAGTGAGGATAGAAACACGAAAGGATGATGTCTACCACAAACAGGTTAGAGCTGAGTAACTCCTGTACAATGTAAAGAGACCCTGTTCTTAATGCACTTCCCCTTTGGGATGAATCAAAGCCATTCAGGGGTATGTAGAGAATAACAAATTAATGACCTTGCTTTGAAGTTTACTTTTCTTTTTGATGCCTTCAGACTTGAGGGAAGTGATTTAGAAGGACTTTCACACCTAAATCTGCAATGTCTTGTGTTGGTGGAAGTTACTGTAAAGTGCAGTGACTTTCCTGAAGACATTTCATTTTGTGCACCGCAAGGGTCCCAAAGCAGCAGTGAGGAGAATGGTCAATGAATCTGGAGGACGGGAGTTCAGATTAACATATCCAAAGGACAGGGTCTCTGATGATGCAGCCCCTTTTTTCTCTCTCACCCCCCCCCACCCACTGTAGTTGCACAGTGTCAGCCAGAATGGTAACACAAGTCGAGTGGGGCTGATTCTCTGAAACGACTAAACTGTAACTCGACAGAAAGGTGATTGAGTTCACGTATTGATTACAGCTGGGATTTGAGCTGGGCTCCCTGATTGGTATGGAGTCGGAAGCAACTTTATTCGGGAATTGGGTTGTTGCCCTTCTCAATCGTCAAACTCGCTCCTGTTTCTGTTGGTTAATTGTCTTTTTCCGGGTTGCACTGGATCCAGCGGTGGTTTTCTGGCCCCCAAAACCCAGGGGATCTGCCATTAAGGTTAGAGCTGCCACACCGGCGTGTGATGTCTGTTAGATAACAGGGCTGATGAGACAGCAGAGACAACAACCAGAGAGACTTTGAGGTACTGGGATAGAGGAGGATCATAGAGTCTTACAGCACAGAAGGAGGCCATTCAGCCCATCGTGCCTGGGCTTCCAACTCATCCTACTCCCCCCTGCAAATGTTTCCTTTTTAAGTACCTATCTAATTCCCTTTGGAAAGCTATTATTGCATCTGCTTCCATGGGAGAATGGGGGAAATCTATTTGTTTTAGAGGTTTCCTGGTCTGGAATCTAAAACTACAAACCTACCCTCTTACAGACACGATTACTGCACTCCCTGATGGTTTGTGTCACTGATTGAGACTAGAGCTGGGCTCTAGAGCTCAGGTTCCCTGGTTTGATGGTGTAGATAAGTGATGTTGGACAATAGAGCAGTACCATATGGGACTGCAATTGACCTCAGTGTCCCTGGGCTACATAAGACCAGAGGATTCGAAGGGGGGGGGGCTGTGTCCCTGATTATCCACCACTAAAGCCTCTTTAAAATCTTATTTTGTTTCGTCATTGATGCTTTCGCCCCAGAATATCCGCTTTATTTTGACCAAGACCAAGTGAAAGATAGAAATTTGGATGTTAATGTTCTGTTAGTTTGCTTAGTTTCGTTCAACAGACACCTGCATCGGGATTGCCATCAGCACACTGATCAACCACAGGAGCAAACGTCTTGATTTCAGTAAGATTTCTTCACGTTAAGTTGGGTCAGCAATGTATATGTGGGGTAGTTTGATTTGATGGTTGCTAACCAAGGTTATTACGAGATTAGGGTGATGGGGTTAAGTGCCTGAGGCTATGTGCAGTGACTGAGTGTGGCTCTTAATCCCGTGAACACCACGAAAGTCATTACGTTGAGCATTTTCTCACCAAAAGAATTATTTCCACCTAAACTGAAGGAAGTCTGCATTCCATTAATCACAAGGCATATGGAGTCCCGTAGCTCGGTGGTTACAGCACTTGCTTCGCGAGTGAGAGGCCTGGGTTCGATTCCCGGCAGGGCAAAACCTTGGGCAACTTTCCGTACTCCACACGCCCGATGATAATTCCCTCAAGAAAGAAAACAATAATAAATTGGTCATTTCAGTCCACGACTGTTTGTGGGGACGCTGCTGTGCACAATTGGCTGCCGCGTTTCACCCACAAATAGACACTTTCACTTTACAGTACATTCTATAAAGTGCTTTGGGATGTCTAGAAGACGTGCAAAGTGCTGTATCAAATGCAAGGATTATTATTTATATTATTATTTTTATGTATACATCTGCAGCCTGTGAGTGCTTGCGTGTGATTTCAGATCTGTGGCCAGTAAGGTTGAAGATCCTGACAAAGTTTGTTGTTGGGCTCACGTGAAGAATTCCCTGTGTATTTTGTGGGCAAAAAATCTTGCCACTCACTCACTCACTCACTCACTCACTCACTCACTCACTCACTCACTCACTCACTCACTCACTCACTCACTCACTCACTCACTCACTCCCTCCCTCCATCTCCTCTATGGAGCCAAGGCCAAAGTATTGGGAGCGAGGGGGCTTCCTTGACTAACTGTTGGCCTGAGCTTGTGTTTGGGAAGCGCTGTTGGCTTAAGGAGATTTTTTTTCCCCCAAGTTTTCTGTGTTTCTTAAAAAAAAAAGAAGCCTTATTTTGCCAAGTTTCGGGATCGTATAGGGATGGGCTCCACACCCTCTTGAGATCATCCCGAAAATTTGGAAGAAAGTAAATTTGGAAGTAAAATTTTTTTTTTCGCAGGACCATGGGGGTAAGAGCGGGGAAGTGGGACTGGTTGGTGACTCTTTCGAAGAGGCGGCACAGGCACAGTGGGCCGAATGGCCTCCTTCTGTGCTGTGAGGTTGCGCGACTGCCTTCAGTGAAGGGCTCAGCTCTCAACGTGTCAAACATATTCCAGATGTCACTGGTTTTTTTCTTAAAAAAGAGAACGGGATAAAGGAAAAGTTTCAAAGACACAAAGAGAAATCTTAACGCTTTTATATATTAAAAAAAACGTTTTTTCTGGTTTCTTTTCCCCCCCCACACACACAGCGCCCCCCAATTCCAATGAGTGGGAATAAATTAGTTTTTTTTTAAGGATCTTAAGTACTGGAAAACCATTCTCTGAACCTGAAGTAACTGATTTTTTTTAAAAAAACAAATCCAGAGGATGAAATTGCATCATCTCCTGTCTTCTCATGTCCTCTCTCCAACCCATTAACATTCCCTTTCACACAGCACTGGATGGCAAACTCTTCACTAAAACCCTTTAAACCCAATTATAACCGCGATCCCCAACACACAATTTTTAAGTGGTTTCAATAAGAAAAAATCACTTCGCAAACGAAACCCCTCTCATTTCTCTCTGTGTTCCTTTGTGTCTGTCTTTGAAGTCGCGAAGCTGTATGTTTTACACACAAACACACACACACACATATATATATATGTTCCAACACTTTGGGAAAAAAAAGTACAGCGTTTTACTTTGCATCTGGAAATCTGATTTTATTTTCCTGCTTTGACAACTTGTTTAAACGTTAAAGAGTTGTGAAGCTGTGCACTACTTTCCCTGTGAGTGTGTGTGTGAGTGTGTGAGTTTGTGCTGACGCAGTCACTCTCTCTCTCTCTCTCTCTCCCTCTCTCTCTCTCTCTCTGTGAGAGATTTTAATCGTTTGCAGACAGACGGGTCGGTGTGAAGCGCAGCCCTCCCCTCCCCTCCCCTCCCAGCCATGGCCACCGGACTGTCCAGCACCCAGACCCCCGCCCTGCAGGACACCCTCTGCCTCCTGCTCCTTCTCTCGGGGCTGTGCTGCAGCTTCTCAGGTAAGTGAACACATAACTTAAACCTTTTCATTCAACTTCAGATTGATTCCCCCTCTCCCCCACACAGAAAAGGAATGCAATTGTTTTTAAACCCCCCACCACCCCCCTCCTCCCCTCGATGTGCTTTATTTGCAGTCAGTTCCCCTGGTATCTCCCCCCCCCCCCCCCCCACCCTCTCTCTCTCTCCTATTCAGAGGGAGATCTGATTTTTGTGCGAGTGTTTGTTAGAAGTTTGGGATAAGTTTTGCATTGAAAGTTGGTCTAATGGCTGAAACCCCGAGGAAAGAATGTCCAAAGGACTGAGTGGAAACAGATGTGGGTTTTTTTTTTCTGTGTGTGTGAGAGAGAGAGAGTGTGAGTGTGTGTGTGTCTGTGAGTGTGTAACTGGGGGGTGGGGGGGATGGGGGGGTTGGGGAGGAGGGGGGAGGGGGGTGCAAGAGAGTTTACCTAAAGCTAAATTTCTCTTTTGCATAAGGTTTTTTTGGGGGTAACTTTTTACTCGCGAGTAGAAGAAAGTGCGAACTTCCACGCAAAGTGGAGGCAGATTTTTTTTCACACAGAGAAAGGCTTCACTGGAAACCATGATTTCATCCTTTTGGGGCCAGCTGGGTGTCTGACACATGCGGAAACCCATCACCCTGCTTAAGAGTTCAATAACAACACTAATAGCAACAATCCTTTGCATTTCATGCAGCGCCTTATCACGGACGGCGGTGAGACGCCTCCAAGCGCTTTACAGGATGGTGCTGTGTTTCGTGGCCAAACCAAACCAAAGCTGAGATTTCCACCTTCACATGGAAATCCCAGAGATAGGTTTTTATTGCAGTGGAATGCACACTCTCTCCCTGGAGGGGAAGCCGCCAAGCTTTCTCTCTCTGTCTCTCTCTCTCTCTGCCCCCCACCCCCCCCCCACCCCATCACTTACTGCCTCGTCTTAAAACGGACAGCACTTTCCCCTGGCGCTGGGCAGCCAAGCGACACTGGCTAAGTGAACTTCCGCTGCGTTGCTTCTTTAACTGGTCCAGCTGTTGGCCACGATGCGCTCGCCAGTGGGGCCCACCGCTGGCCCACAGCTTCTTTGCTGCGATGCTAAAGTGGGCGAGTTGCCACCTTTGCCGAGGAGACGTAAAGCAGCCGGTTCCAAATACTCTACTGTCTTCCGCTGCTGGGGTTCGGCTTCGCAGCTCACCCCGTGGCACCTTCACTGCTTTGAATGGACCAACACCACCCCCCCCCCCCCCCACCCAAAGCAAATAGCATTTAATAAAATCCCACAGAGCGGTGGGCGGTTGAACAGAGATGCCTTGGCACCGGATGTTGCTTTAATGGACTCCTTAAAAAGGAATTGGGTGGAATTTGGTGGAAGTTACAAGGATGCCAAGATGAGAGTGTCTAGTCTAGACACGCCTGACCCAGCCAGCCTGGCTTTGCTTGGGGGGGGGGGGGGAAACCTGCATTATCAGAGGTTCCATCATCATTTGGGTGAAATGTTAAATCGAGGTCCAGTCTATCACTACTCAGGTGGACGTTGAAGATCTCCCCACGGCGCTATTCGAGAAGCGAGGGGAGTTGTTTCTCTCTCTCTCTTTCTCTCCTCCTCTCTCCCAGCATCCCTGGGCCGCTGTTTGTGGGGCATTTGCTGTGCGGGAATTGGTTGCCGCCTTTGCCCACAAAATACAAACGGCAGGTGAAACGCTTTGGGCCATTTTAACACTGTAGGCACTGTGTCAGCTCGAAGGAAGCCTGCTGATGGTATCACAGCCAGACCTGCTCCTGTCCTTGTGTGACCTGCCACGCTTTCCAGTAGGGCTCTCTCTTTCCAGACTGTGATCAGTTGGTATCCTTCACGGGCAGATTGTGGGTGGATGAGATTCCATTTGCCGTGACCAGTTTAAAGAGAGGTGAGCTACCATTTGAAGAAGAAGAAGAAGAATTCTTGCATTTGATATAGCGCCTTATCACGTCTTCTAGACGTCTCAAAGCACTTCACAAGGATATATCGTGTATTTTGTGGGCGAAACGCAGCAGCCATTTGCGCCACAGCGGTGCCCCACAAATATGGATTGAGTGACCAATACGTTATAATTATTATTTGTTCTCACCGTACTCTGTCCCGAGTCCAGCGTAAGATTTTTACATTCTTAAAAATAAAACAAAAGAAGTAATATGATATCGTAAACTCTGCTGGGAAGGGATACTCAAACCCACAGATTACAGCGGGCAGCACAGAGGGATTTGTGTGTAAGCAGTGTTTAACTGCGCAAAAGAGTCATATAAATTATAGGTAGCAACTCACTACAGAGCAAAGCCTGTCTCGTCTCTCGGTGGTTTCTCCCCGGTCACATGTCTCCCCCGTTTCATTTTGTTCGCAAAACACAGTCAATTCACCTTACAGTATATCCTGTGAAGCGCTTTGGAACGTCTCGAAGCCGTGATAAGGGGCTGTATATCAAATGTAAGCATTATTATATATAGTGCCTCAGCCTGTCACAGTGGCTTTTTTTTTAAGGCAATTTGAGCGCAGTAATGTCACACAAAAAGCCAGGAAGTGAAGACCTAATTTTCTTCATTTGGGGGATTGTTGATAAGACACCGTGTGGGGGGGAGAGAGAAAGAGGAACTCCCTTCTTTTTTTTCAAGAAGTGGCACAGGATCTTTAACGTTCACCCCAACAGTTACAGACGGAAAGTCTCCCAACAGCGCAGTGCTGTGCTGGAGTACCAGCCTAAGATGATGGGTTCAGAAGGGTTTGGAGCCACAACAATCTCGACTCCAGGCTCAGGAGCTACCAACCTGAGCCCGGGTGAGACCGGTCAGACAGTTACCAGGGGGTGCAGCCTCTCGAGTGTGGTCGGTCTGCGTCTCACGCACCCTGTGATGGTGCACAACCAGCTCTAGTCACGGCTATCATCCCTCAGTGGTGATAGAGAGCAAAGACGCCACCAGAGTCAGATCGTGTGAAGGGTGTAACAGAGATGCATGTTGTTGTTGTTGTTGTTTAAGATGAACAACCTCTGCACGGATGTAAAAGGAAACGTGGGGGCGGTGTGTCTGAGTTGGTGTGGGCTGCGCTCAATTGGCCGTTTGGTTCAGAAGAGCTGTAAATCTTTAGGGTTTTTTTTTAGTGCTAAATTGGCGACGACTCAAAAGTTGTATCTGTTTTGACTGCTCCATTGTGTCCTTGTGTTCCAGTTTGGAGCCGTGAGCAGCTTTTATAGTGAAATAATGGGTTGTGGGGAGCGAGGGCCACAGAGCAGATCAATCGAGGGGATTCGGATAACGTCTCGAGTGGTTAATAACAACCATCTGACCTCCTTTCCTCAGATCAGGTTTGAACCCCCCGCCTGATCTGTTATTTGATATGTTGTGTGGGTTGGCCTGGGCGGGCCTGGCCTGACCTGGGCTGGACTGGGCTGCGTGCTCCACGTTCACTAACAATCCACAATTCCCTTTCATGTGAGTGTGCGGGAGGCGGGCGGAGAGAGAGGGAGAGTTTTAATCTTTGTGTGTGTGTGTATGTGTTTCCACGGAAACCTGAGCCCTGCTATCACTTTAATAATAAGGTGGTCACTCAATCCACGACTGTTTGCGGGGACGCCGCCGTGCGCAATTGGCCGCCGCGTTTCGCCCGCAAAATATACAGTCAATTCACTTCACAGTATATTCCCGTGAAGCGCTTTGAGAGGTCTCGAAGATGTGATCAGGCGCTGTATCAAACGCCAGGATTATTATTAGTAGTAGTATTATTCACTCGTCTCGGACACAAACGGTGTCCTTTCCGCCTGGCTGTGGAATCTGCGCCGTTGTGTACCTTATTCCGCATGTCAGAAAGGATGAGTTGGGGATTTTGTTGGCCCTCAGTCGTGGGCGGGTGGTGAGTGTTTGTTTGGGTGGGTGGCTTTACTCGATTTGGCCGGTCTGCTCGCCACTTAGTCCTTAAAAACCCCCCGAGGTTACGTTCAACAGGAAACGAGAAGCCGTCACTGCGATGGGCGGCGACTCCTGTTTCTGGCCTGAAATCCTGACGTCGATTCCAGGCTCTCGGCCGCCTGTGTCTGAGGCCACGTTCAGCGTCGCAGGAGCTGAGCCTGAGGGCGGGTCAGGTCCGGGCAACTATAACAACAACAACAACATGCGTTGATGTATAGCGCTGTTCGTTTGCACGGGGAGCGTCTCAGAGCGCTAAAGGGGAATCGTGCCAGAAACCTGCCTCTCCCTCTCCCCCCTCTCTCTCTCTCTCTCTGTGTAAATGTAACGTGTTGTGGTGGGCGGCGGTGGTGGTTGTTGTTGTGTAACGCTGTGTGTTTGGCATTGCAGATCCCAGCGTGTTCATGATCTACAGCGATGTGGCCCAGAGCTGTTTGGAGAGCAGCGGCAATGCCGTGGGTCTGTCTCCGGTCTGCAACCAGAGCTCGGAGCAACAGCAGTGGAAGTGGGTGTCGCGGCTGCGGCTGTTCAACCTGGGCTCCCGGCAGTGCCTGGCGATGCTGCGGCAGAACGGCAGCGGGGCATCTGCCGCGCTGGGCACCATCGAGTGCGACCTGGAGTCGGCCCAGACCCGGTGGCACTGCGGCAAATTGGGCGAGCAGCTGGGGGGCTTCCTGAACCGGTCACCGGGGGGCGCCCCCACCTCCGGCTCCTGGGACCCCGCCACCGCCGGCAACGACGTGTGGAGGATCTACAAGACCAACCAGGACCTGTGTGCCAGACCGTACCACGGTGAGCCCCGAGAGCGGTCTCCCCCGCCTGGCCCAGCCTTCCCTTCTGCTTCCCTTCAACCTCCGGCATTGCCGAGGGGGTCTGTACTCTCCCCTTCTTCCTCCCGCGCCCCCCCACCCCCCCCCACAGTGTAAAGTCAATCACTTTACTGTTTATCCTGCGAAGCGCTTTGTGACGTCTCGACAACGTGATGAGTCGCTGTATCAAACGCTCGGATTATTATTCTTATTAAAACGAGGTTCAGTGAGATGGGTCTTAAGATGGATCCTGACCGACGGGAGGGAAGGAGCGATTGTGATGACGATGATGATAAGACGTCTTCGAGACGTCTCAAAGTGCTTCACAGGATACGCCGTAAAGTGTAGCGACTGTGCGTTTTGTGGGCGATACGATGATGTGTGTTGACCTCTCTCTCTCTCTCTCTCAAGAAATTTACACGATCCAGGGGAACTCTAACGGAAAGCCCTGCACCATCCCGTTCAAGTACGACAACCAGTGGTATCACGGTTGCACCACCATTGGCCGGGAGGACGGGCACCTCTGGTGCGCCACCACCGTGGATTACGGGCGGGACGAGCGCTGGGGATTCTGTCCTATAATGAGTAAGTCTCTTTCCCCCTTCGTAGGGAGCCCCCGCAGTGTAGCAGCGAGCGAGCGAGACCCCCTCGGGTTCGATTCCCGGGCAGAGCGAAACGTTGGGCAAGTGTGCTTTCACCACACACACGCGCACGCGCTTCTGTTTACCCGGCAGTAAGTAGGAACACGATCGTCAGTTGATCGGCGGATCGCTTTTCCGGGGATAATAACCCCAAAATTCGTCACTTAATAACATAACATCACATGTAGGAGCAGGAGGAGGCCATTCGGCCCTTCGAGCCTCTGCCCCGCCATTCAATCATGGCTGATCTTCTAATCTAACTCCAGCTAATAACCTGACCCTGTCTTATCCCCTTATCCCTTCATCTCTTTTGCAATTAGAAATATCCATGACTTTTTGTGGGGATTCTGCCGTACGCAATTGGCTGCTGCGTTTCGCCCACAAAATACACAGCTGCTACACTTTACAATATATTCTGCGAAGTGCTTTGAGACGTCTCGTAGAACTGATAAGCCAAATAGAATGATTTTTTTTTAAGAAAAAAAGAGCTGATGCCTGGCGCTGGGTGTGAACCTCTGGGCAAACGAACCTCCTCTCTCTCTCTCTCTCGCTCTCCCCCCTCAGCTGACGACTGTGAGACATTCTGGGACAAGGACCCGCTGACAAACAGCTGTTATCAGTTTAACTTCCAGTCCACACTGTCCTGGAACGAGGCGCGAACCAGCTGTCAGCAGCAGAACTCCGACTTGCTGAGCATCACCGAGCTTCACGAGCAGACGTACATCAACGGTAAGCGGGTTACCTCTGGTGGGTGGGGAGTGGAACTGGCTCTCGTTCCTGGCCTCGCGTCTCCCCAGACTCGCTCTATCTGATGGACCGCCCTCTCTCTCTCTCTCTCGCTGACCAGGGCTGCTGACGGGTTATAGTGCCACCCTGTGGATCGGCCTGAATGACCTGGACATCGATGGCGGCTGGCAATGGTCCGATGGGTCCCCATTGAAGTACCTCAACTGGGAGGAAGGTGACGAACTCAGTCTGTCACTGAGTAACTCACGCGAGGGGTGGTGGGGAGGGAAAGGACCGTAGAGAGAGGCGTGTACGCTGCTGAATGGGGTTAAGAGTGTAACGCTCAGGCAGCAGAACAATGGGGGGTGGTTTGGGGGCCGTGGGGGGCAATTTCAGGACAGACGCCGGTGGCCGTCGACGGCTGGGATGGGCTGGATGAACAGTTGGTGCCGTGAAGGCAAGGCATCGGTGATGGTGGGATTCTGGGCTACCCCGGTTTTGTCTGGTTTCCTGCCGAGCCGTGACCTGACGGTGTCCTGCCTTGCGGTTACAGACCAGCCGGTGAACTCGCTGGAGGAAAACTGTGGGGTTATCCGGACGGAGTCGTCGGGCCGATGGCAGAACAAGGACTGCGGCATCGCACGGCCCTACGTCTGCAAGAAGAAGCCGAACGGGACCGCGTTCCCCGACACATGTACGAGACCTATCGCCGGGGATGCCGCTCCCGACTGACTCGCTCCGGTATCGCTCCCTCCCCCCACCCACCACCATTTGTTTTTTTTACCCGTACCTTCCCATGGAATCCTGTAGCTCAGTGGTTAGAGCACTCACCTCACAAGCAAGCGAGAGGACCCGGGTTCGATTCCCGGGCAGGCGAAATCTTGCACAAGTTGCCTTACTCCCCGCACACACGCCTCTGTTTTCCCGGCTATTATTAGCCGATTGGCTGATCGCTTTTCCGGGGGCAATAATCCCTCCCCCCAAAACAAATTGGTCACTTAATCCATGACCGTGTAGGACACTTGTTTGTAATTGGCTGCTGCGTATTGCCCACAAAACACAGTCACTACTACACTTGGAGACGTCTCGACGAGGTGATGAGGCGCTATATTATTATTATTATCAATCTTTCCCGCAGACACCTGGAAGAACTTCAAGACCACGTGCGAGAGCGGCTGGCTGCCCTTTCACTGTAACTGCTACCGGCTGAACAGCGAGAAGAGAACGTGGCAGGAGGCGCGCAAGAGCTGTGTGCGATCCGAGGGTGACCTGCTCAGTGTCCACCATCTGGCTGAGCTGGAGTTCGTCCTGACCAGCGTCAAACAGGGTGAGTCTGCGTCTGGCAGCCCGGGGGCCGGGCTTCCGCGTTCACAGCTTCTGCGGTCTCTCCTCCTGGTGTTCTCTCCGTCCCGCCCTCACCCCACACCACCCCCCCACCCGAGAGAGCTCAGCACCGATGCCGGGAACACGAACCGGTGTCCGTGCGGCGCTCCCGAGGGTCGGCCCGTCTCGCTCCGGGTGATTCTCGCAAGGACTCTCTCTCTCTCTCTCGCCTTGGAGCCCAGCGGGAGTGAGCATCACAGCCAGGGCCCGGCCAACCCTGCCCTCGCCTGCAGCTCGAAGGCGAGGATTATTATTAGAATTGTTATTAAGAATGTTAATCACTGTCTGTCCGTGTTTTGTCTGTCTGTCTGTCTGCAGATGTGGAGGAGCTGTGGATCGGCCTGAACGACATCAAGCTGCAGATGAACTTTGCCTGGTCGGACGGGAGCCCCGTCAACTTCACCTATTGGCACCCGTACGAGCCCAACAACTTCCACAGCAGCCAGGAAGATTGTGTCACTCTGTGGGGGGAGGTAAGCACCGACCTTGACGTCAACACATTACGTTTACACAGCGGCTTTCGCGTCGGGAGGACGTCCCGAGGCGCTGGCCGGACGGTGAAGGGCTTACACCCGAGCTGGGGGTTGGAATTAGAGAGGGGTGGAGAGTATGGGCTGGGCTGGGGGGGGGGGGTTGGCTGTGGAAGGGGGAAGATGACTGAAAGCGCGGTCGACAAGGAAGGTCTTGAGGTGGGGCTGGAGTGAAACTGGTTCTCAATCTGCGAAGGGTGGTCTCTGGCCTCAAGGTGGGAGGTGCGTGAGCAGTTTCCCCGCCACACCCCACCTTACCTCCTCTCCTTCCCCTTTGCCGGACCCCAGGGCGGGCGGTGGAATGACGGACCCTGTAACTTGACGCTGCCGTCCATCTGTAAGAAAGCCAGCTGTCTGGGCGAGGAGGAGGTGGAGGATGACCTCGGCTGCCAGAAGGTGAGTGAGAAACACCACCGGGGGATACAGTGGGAGGAAGGTCAGAGCCTGAACTGCTGCAGAGTCTCAGCAGCAGCCACGCGGGGCGGGGGTTGCACGCGCGTGTGGGGGATGTGTGTGTGATGGGGGTGGGGGCGCGGGTGGGGAGGAGGGGGAGGCGAGGCGAGATAAATGTGCGAGAGAAACTGATATTAAAGGACGTGAGGGAATAATAATGGATGTTTCTCAGCGTCTCTCCGACAGAAAATATTGGGTTTGGTGAAGCGGTGACTGGTCAGTCTCGGTTCTCGGGGGGAGGGGGTTGTTTCCCAACATTCCTTCAGTGCGTGTCTGTGCGCGCGCGCGCGCGTGTGTGTGTGTGTCTGTCTCTCTCTGGCACTGGAAACGGCCGCAGGAAAATACAAATCATCATCAGCCTCTGCTCCTGGAACAAGGCTCCTCCCGCCTCCGGGTCAGAAGGTTGTGGGTTCATGCCCCAATTATTATTGGGGTATTATTATTAATAATTATATTTGTTATTATTCAGGCTGCATTTGCCAACAAAAACCATCACTGGGCTTGACATCAACTCCCTGTGAAACACTTGGAGATATTTAGAGACTCTGGGCGCTGTATTATATTGTGTTCCTCCACCCCCCCACCTCCCGCGGACACGCACACCTCCCCCAGTCCCCCCACACAGGGTGTAGACTCCACTGTTGTAACGACAATATGAAGTCTCTTTCCCCCCCCCCCCCCCCAGCCCCCCATTCCCACTCCAGGAAACTGCTTTTCTGAGGATTAAAGAGAGCTGAGACTTTTTAAAATATATAGAACACGCGTTGAATCCGTCCAGAATAAATAAACCGAAGCGAACAAAAAAAAAAAAAAAAAAAAAAATCCTTCCTGGGACGAGAATCCAGGGCAGAATTTTCCACGTTCCGTCAGGAGAATGGAGGCTTTGTGTGGGAAGTGTGTGTGTGCGCCACTGACTGTCTGTGGCTGTGTGTGTGTCTGGCCTGGGAGGGCTGTGCTGAGCGCAGGTGGTGAGAGAGAGAAAGAGAGGGAGGGAAAAAGAGAGCGAGTACCTCTTCCCACATAGACCAAGCTGGTGGTGGGCTCCCTCTCGTCTCCTCTCCCCCTCGCGCGCTCTCTTGTCTCCTCTCCCCCCTCGCTGCCTGAACTCCTGTCTCTCCTCACTTGACGCCCCCCCCCCCACCCGCGTCTCTCTGGTTCTCTCTCAGGGCTGGAGGTACCACAGCTCCTCCTGTTACCTGGTCGCTGAGGAGATGCTGACATTCAAGGAGGCCCTGAAGAAATGCACGGACCAGAGCTCGGCACTGGTCACCATCACCAACAGGTTCGTCCTGCCGCCCCCCCCCCCCCCCCCCCACCCGCCTGCAGCTGACTCCCTGAACAGCCATTGGGATCGGAGTTTGGGACTGGGGTTTGGGATCAGTCAACGGGTTTCAGATTGGGATTCACAGCCAGGGGCATTGATTTGGGATTGGGTTTAGGGATATGGGGCTGGGGTTATGGTGGGGGTGGGGGGAGGGGAAGCGTGGTCGAGGCTAGGAAACCGGCTCCTTCAAGAAAACGCTGGAGGCTGTAATGGGGGGTTGGGGGGGGGGGAATCTATGAGATTAAATGTGCTGAAGGTTCTTCTTTACCAGAACCTCTCCTGAGATTGCTTGCCCCCCCCCCCAGCCCCCCCTCCACCCCCTCCCGCTGACTGTAACTGTGCTCCTTTCCCGCCAGGTTCGAGCAGTCGTTTGTTATCAGCCTGATCCTCGGCCGGTCGGGGGATTCCCTGTGGACCGGGCTCGGCGACGTGAACCACCCGGGGGTCTTCCAGTGGCTGGGGGGAGACCCCGTGTCCTTCACCAACTGGAACCGAGACCAGCCAGGTAGGGCTTCCGTCCGCTCGTGCCTGGCTTGTCCGTTGGAGTCGGCTCAACATTCCAGTGTCCGGTGACGTCTGTCGGACAAACCCGTCTCTGCAGCGATGTCCTGCCCCTCGCAGTCAGTGTCTGTCTTGTGCCTCAGTAGCCATTTGGGTGAGAAGTGTCCAGCGCAAGTCGGTGCTCGAGGTGGGGGAAGGTCGGGAGAGGGACAGAGGGGTTTCCCGAGCTTTCCTGCTATGGGGAGAGAGAGAGCAGGTAGTCGGGCCTCCACCCCCCACCCCACCCACCCCCGCCACAACCCCACGCAAGGCCTGGGCTGGCTGCTGTTTGCTTTGGCCCTGCCTCGTGTGGAGCACATCTGGAAGTGATATCGCGCGATGCCAGAAGGAAATGAATGCTCTGCGTGACTGCCTGCTCACAACCACACTGACAGCCAGTGCCTGGCTCTCGCCCCCACTCGCTCTCCCCCACTCACTCACTCTCTCGCTCGCTCACTCACTCACTCGCTCTCCCCCACTCGCTCTCCCCGGTTTGACGGCAGCCGAGATTGTTCCTATGGCCAGACATTCCTACCCCTCGGTCCAGCATTTCACCGAACGCCTCTACAATTCCCTGTTGATCTAACCCTAATTGCTGCCGTTCCGACAATCAGCCCCTGTTCCTGTATTTTTTTTAGGGGTGGGGAGGTGGGATGGGGGTGGGGGGATTATTACCCCCGGAGAGCGATCCTGTCAATCGATTAGCAATTGGGTCCCTGCAGGCCGCTTGGTAAACAGAGGTGTGTGGATTAAGGAAAATTGTGTTAAGGTTTTACCTCGCCCGGGAATCAAACCCGGGTCCTCTCTCTCTCTCTCCCGCTTGCGAGGCGAGGTTATTTTATTATTATTATTATTATTAACCAGTACGCTACAGGACTCCACGATGGTGCGAGGCGTGTGGTGCCTGGCATGGCCCTGTGCGAGTCGCCATGTGAGTGAAACGGCCTCTCTTCTCCGCAGGGTTTAATGGTGGTTGTGTGGTGTTGGCCACTGGGAACTCGGTGGGGCTCTGGGAGGTGAAGGACTGCAACAGTTTCAAGGCAAAGTACATCTGCCGTCAAAACCTGGCCACCCCGGTGACGCCTGACCCCGGCCCCCCACTTCCCACCCCCAGCCTCACAGGCTCCTGCCCCCAGGGCTGGCTCTCCTCCCCACAGCTGCGCTACTGCTACAAGGTAGGGACCCTGCACATGAGGGGGGTGCGGGGTGGGCTGCATGTGCGTGCGTATGTGTGGGAGGAGAGTCTGTGAAGGGGTGCTGTGTGTGTGTGTGTGTGTGAAGGGGGACTGCGTGCGCGCAGGGGGATGGTGTGTGTGTTGGGGGAGGCTGCGGGAACTGTGTGCATGTGTGAGGGGAGGAAGTCCAGTGGCTATGAGCACAGTGAGGTTGACGGGACTGATAGAGGCTGTTATTAAAAGGGTTTGGCCTCTGCCCTGACCTGGGGCAGAGGGTGGGGTGGGGTGGAATGGTGGGTGAGGTGGGGGCAGCGTGTTCCAATCTGTTGTTTGGCAGCGACTGTTAACCAACCAACAGCTTATTTGTGTTCCCTTCAGTCCCCCCACCCCCCCACCCTCCCAGAGAAACACACAATTACTGACTATCAGATCAGTCACTTCCCCAACACCAAATTATACTCATTAGCAGTCGGCCAGCGATCAGAGAGATTGCCTTGCTCTCTCTCTCTCTCTCTCTCTCTCCATCAGCCCCACACCGGGTGGGGGGGGGGGAGAGAAGCCATAGCTGCCCTCCTCTTACTCTCTCCCACCCCCCCCTCCACCCCCACCCCCCCTCCCTCTCTCTCAGGTGTTCCACTCCAGCGTTATCCAGGGGAAGCACAGTTGGCCGTTGGCCCACGCTTCCTGTGTGGAGTTAGGAGCTCAGCTGCTCAGCATCGGCAGCTCTGAGGAGGAGCAGTTTGCAGGGAAGATGGTTCACGAGATCTTCGGGTAAGTCAGTGTGTTGTGCGTGTGTGTGTGTGTGTGTGACATCTGCCGGGAGGGAGGGAGGGAAGGAGCCAGGAGTTGGCACCATTGACATCTCGTCTCCTCCAGGGAGTCTGAGGAGCACGAGCAGCACTGGTTCTGGATCGGGTTGAACCGCAGGAACCCGGGGGCCGAGCGCAGCTGGAAGTGGAGCGATGGCTTGGGGGTGAGTGTCGCATGCTGCTCCTCCCGCCCCCGACCGCCCGTGCCACACACACACACGTGCGCGTGCGTGTGTGTTGCATGTATCTGACGTGTTTATCCCGTGTGCAGTATTCCTACCACAACTTCAGACGTGACGCCTACGACGATGATGATGTGCGGCGCTGTGCGGTGCTGGACATGGTCAGCAAACAGTGGATGGCCGTGCGCTGCGAGACCCGGCTGGACTGGATCTGCAAGATCCGCAAAGGTGAGGGTCCAGGCGCGGTTACCCCAAGACCCCCCACTCGCGCGGTGGTGGGGGCGCGGGGGCTGGTGGGGGTCAGTGTCACAACGTCTCTGTGCGCTTCACTAGCATCTCTGCCGGTCACAGGGTCAAGCACAAAGTCCTTTCCGTATCTAATGGTGTCCTGGGACGTAAAGTCCACCTGAACCGGGCGGGAGCTCGGATTAGCCTGGACTGAGCTTGAATCCTGATGTGGGGCAATGAGTCTGTCTGTCTCTCTCTGTCTGTGTCTCTCTCTCTGTGTCTCTCTGTCTCTCTGTCTGTCTGTCTGTCATCGCCAGGGGTTCTGTGTATTGCCTGTTGACATTGGCTGTCTCTGTTCACACAGGTGTTGCTGTCAGAGAGCCTGAGGACACACAAGGTAGAGGGTGTCTTACACTCACACACACTGCACCGGCTCCCAGTGTCCGCACTGCTGCTCACGTCGCTCGCTGCCACATGTCCCTGATGCTCTCTTGCTTTCTCCCCATCACTCACACACTCTCCCCCCCTCTCTCTCTCTCTTTCTCGCACAATATAACTATCTCTCTTGTCACTTACTCCTCACTATCACTTTCTCCCCCCCACAGCCCTCTCTCTTTCCCACTCTCGCTCTTTGTCTCGTTCTCTCTGTTCTCTCTCTCTCTCTCTCCTTCACGGTCTCTCCATCCCCCTCTCCCCCCCTTCACTCTCTCTCTCTCCCTCTCTCTCTCTCTCTGATGACAGAAGCTGCCAGTAAGCAGTGGCTGAGGTTTGACGAGGCCGAGTATAAGTTCTTTGAGCACCACTCCACCTGGCCCCAGGCTCAGCGTATCTGTACCTGGTTCGGGGCGGAGTTGGCCTCAGTGCACAGTCAGCGAGAGCTCAGCTTCCTGGGCAAGACCCTGCGCAAGGTACGGGCCAGTGCTGGGGGGGGGGGGGGCACGTTGCCATGTGGGTGGAGCTGTATGGGTGGGGCTGAGTGCCTGATGTGGGGGTGGGGCTTGTCTTGCGGCGGGGCCGCTGTGGGGGGAGGCACCTGGTATGCGGGTGGGACTGCCTGTGTGTGGCCGTGATGACTGGTCACTGACCCACTGCCTGTGTCCAGCTCTCCAGATCCCAGGACCAGCCGTGGTGGATCGGTCTCCAAACCGTCCAGAACGACGGGCGTTTCAGGTGCGTGTGTCTGACCCAGCGCCCCCCCACACCCCAGGGGCCACGCCCGGCATCACAGCGCCTCCCCCCCCCCCCCAGGGGCTGCGCCTGTCATGTCAGCAACAACAGCACCTGTGCTGTGATGTCGGAAGGACAATTGGAAGTGGTGACAACTCGTGTGTTTCTTGGGAGGGCTGGTGTGTGTGTGTGTGTGTGTGTGTGTGTTGTGTGGGGGGGGGGGGGGGAGATTGGCTTTATGCTCACCACTTCCCCACCGAAATCATTTCATCCCCCCCACCCCCACAGCGCAGTCAGTAACTCTGCCCCCAGCCCCACCTCGCTCACTGTCTTGTCTCCCGTCGGCTCCAGGTGGTCGGACAGCTCCATCCTGAACTTCGTCTCCTGGGCCTTCGGGAAGCCCCGGCCCATCACCAAGGACAGGAAGTGTGTTTACATGTTGGCCGGGAAAGGTAAGCTTCCTGCTGCCACCATCCCACCTTCACACCCCGTCGTCAGCTTGTCTCTCGCTCCCTCTTATATTCTCTCAGCTCCACCTCTGTCTCACACTCGCTCATGTTCTCTTTCTGCTCTCTCTCTCATCTCTTTTTTTCTCTCTCTCTCATCCCTTTTCTCGCTCTCACACTCATGTTTTCTCTCACTCTCTCTCACACACAGAGGAATGGGGTGACCAGAAGTGCCTGACTGATCTCCAGTACGTCTGTAAACGGACGAACGTCTCGTCGGTGGTGCCTCCACTGCCCCCTCCCCCCTCGGTGTCGGGGGGCTGCCCTGGAGGCTGGACTCCCTTCCTCAACAAGGTGCTCCACCCCCCCCCCCCCCACCCTCTCACCTTCATCATTCTACATACAGTTCCACACTAACTAAGTGTCACACATTCAGTTTGACCGACACCTGGTGACGGCTCTTATTGTCTGTCATACAACCAAGGTGTCCAGTGTTTGGCTGTTGTCTTAAATGATCTCTCCTTCTCTCCGCTCCTCTCCCGCCTCACTCACTCACTCACTCACTCGCTCACTCGCTCACTCGCTCACTCGCTCACTCACTCACTCACTCACTCACTCACACTCTCTCTTCTCGGCACAGTGTTTCCAGTTACAGGGACAGCGGGAAGCTGAGCGTGTGAGCTGGATCGAGGGGAAGGCGGCGTGTGAGAGAGCGGGAGGGGTGCTGGCAACTATCTCCAATCGTTTGGAGCAAGGTAATGAACTGCTTACACTACAGCCTCAAATTATTCCTCTTTGCTGAGTGTCTCCCATCTCCCTCCCCCCCCCCCCCCCACCACCACCACGGACTCCGAGAGCCGAGGAGAGTGAGCAGCCTACGATGTGTCAGTGACGTTTGTCTGTGTCTGTCTGACTCCGTTTGTGTCTCTGTCTGTGTGGTGGTGATGGCTCGCACCCATCTGTCTGTATTCCCCCCCCCCCCCCCCGCTGCAGCTTTCATAACGACGCTTCTGCCGAACATCACGTTTGACCTGTGGATCGGACTACATGACACCAACAAGGATTTCCAGTGGCTGGAAAAGGAACCCGTCAAATTCGTCAACTGGGCCCCGGGGGAACCCTCAGGCCATCGCTCGTTCTCCGTCACTAATGAGCTGGTGCGTTAACCCTAACCTTCCACGGCCTCGTTTACCCCCACCCCCCACCGCTCCGACCTGCAAACCCATCGCCCCCTCCGCTCTGTTTTACTTCTTTGACTGAGTTTTCGGTCATCTCCCCCCACCCCCACCCAATCCGCACAAACCCTCCTCAGCCAGCTGCGCAAAGCCTCTGACATATCCTGTCAGTGTGTGTGTGTGTGTGTGTGTGTGTGCGCGCGTGTGTGAGTGAGTGCGAGTGTATGTTATTGTACGCTGCCCGGCTGAGCTGATGGTCTGTGGTTGCAGGTAAACTGCGCGGTGGTCTGGCACGGTACACACCCACAGTTCACCGGTCGCTGGGATGATAGGAGCTGCCGCGACCAGAAAAACGGTTACATCTGTCAACGAAACAAAGGTACAGAGAGGGACGGGGCTCCACCTCGGTGAGGGGCTGGGGGGTCAGAGCCCTGTAACTGCGTGGTTAGAGCACTGGCCTCGCGAGCGAGACGAACCCGGGTTCGATTCCCGGGCAGGACGGCGTGAAACCTTAGGCAAGTTTCCTTACTCCACACAACCTCTGTTTACCCAGCAGTAAATAGGAACCCGGTTGTTAGTCGGTCGGCAGATCGCTTTCTGGGGGTAATAATTCCTTAAAAAAATACACTAAGTAAATAATTTGGTCATTCTGTGTGTGGGACGCTGCTGTGCGCAATTGGCTGCTGCGTTTCGCCCACAAAATACGCAGTCAATGCACTTTATAATATATGCTGTGAAGCGCTTTGAGACTTCTCAACGACGTGATCAGGCGCTGTATCAAAGGATTATTATTATTAAAACCCAAAGTGGACCTGGGCATTTGACCATAACCCTTTCTCTCTCTCTCTCTCTTTCTCAGACCCCTCTCTCCCCCCCTCCCCAGCCCGGTTTCCTCCGCCCCTCACCCCCACACTGAGCTACATGAACAACACTTACCGGATGATACAGAAGCAGCTGAGCTGGCAGGAGGCCATGTGGCTGTGTGAGAGTCACAACCTGAGCCTGGCCAGCATCAACGACGCCTACAACCAGGCCTTCCTCACACAGGTGCTCAACGCCATCCAACAGCCCCTCTGGATAGGGCTCTCCAACATTGAGGTGATTTGCATCTCACTCTCTCTGTCCGCAGTGTCTCTCCCTCTCTCTCCTCTCCCCCTCCCTCTCTCCCACTCCTCTCTTTCCTCCTCTCTCCCTCTTGCTCCCCCCTCTCTCTCTTCCCCCCCCCCTGTCTTCCCACCTCCTCCTCTCTCCCCCCACCACCACCCCTCGCTGACTGACCGCTGTGTGTGTAACACTCTCCCCCAGGGTGGCTCGAGGTTCTCCTGGATGGGGGACCGGCCGGTTCCCTACACCCACTGGCAGGCGGGGGAGCCACAGCAGAGCACGGGCTGTGTGTACATGGAGGTGGACGGGACCTGGCGCACCTCAAACTGTGACGTTAAACGACAAGGAGCGATCTGCAAGGTGAATGGAGGTATGTCCAGGGCACTCGCTGGCCTGACCTCTCGATCCTCTCCTCACCCCTCACCGTTCCAGGCTGCACCTCCCTATTTGTTTCTGCGCTGCTCTACTATAATCGGTGTTCGACATACAGCCGCCCTAACCAACCCCTTATCCCCACCACGTACATCCCGAGATGAAATAAATAAAATAATTGGGTCACTCAGTCCACGGCTGTTTGTGGGACGTCGGTGGGCGCAGTTGGCTGCCGCGCGTTTCACCCACAGAATACGCAGTCAATCCACTTTAAAGTATATTCTGCGAAGCGCTTTCAGACGTCTCGAAGGCGTCCACAACAAATGAAAGGATTAGTAGTAGTAGTAGTGGTAGTAATTTAATGATTATTTGCAGCCATTGCCTTCAGGGGAAGCGCTCCCCTCAGGGACCAGGAGGTGGCGCTATTGTAACACAATCCCAGTGGAAGGCCTCTCAATGCAGCGTTGGCAAATCGCACAACATCGCCACCTGCGGGTGGGCCATCGGATTGCAGCCTCGGGGGAAGGGCAACATCGCACTTAACTTGTAGGAGCATTGGGAACAGGAGGAGGCCATTCAGCCCCTCGAGCCTGTTCCGTCATTCTATAAGATCATGGCTGATCTGTACCTCGACTCCAGTTACCTGCCCTTGCCCCATATCCCTTGATATCCTGACCTAACGAAAATACCGTGAAGTGTAGTGACTGTGTATTTTGTAGGCGAACACAGGAGCCAACTTGCGCCTACCCACCTCCCGCAAACAGCTGCTCGGTGAAAGTTTGCTCTCTTTCTCTCAGTCCCTCGGAGGGATTGTTGGCCGGGGCCGGCAGTGGGGGATGGGTTTAATGGGAAGTGTTCGGAAGCTGCTCACTGACCGCTGGCTGTTCCCGCAGAAGCCGTGTCCGTCAAGTCCCAATTCAACGGCACGTGCCCCACCCGCCTGCACGATTCCAACTGGATCGCCTTCCGCAACCACTGCTACACCTTCAACCTGGAGAAGAAAGCGGCTTCTAAAGACGCCGGAAAGATCTGCCGGAAAGGTAGGAACCCGCAGCCCCCGCCCGAGGCTGGTGCGTGGGCACCGTAGGAGATGTGAAAGGCTCCATTCCTCGCACCCCCCACCACCCACACACATACACACGCGCACACACTCCCATTGGCCTCTTGCTAGGAACGGTTAAAGGAAGCCTCGACTGATGGTGTGAATGAGCCGGGAAGATTGAGAGAGAAAACGTGTGACGTGAGGGATGTCTGACCCTCTACTGTTCTCCTCTTTGCTGTGACACAGAGCACGGAGCCGAGGTGCTGTCCATCCTGGACGAAACCGAGAACGTCTTCATCTGGGAACATCTACAGACGTACGAGAAGGAAGCAAGGGGTGCCTGGCTGGGCCTCAGCTACAATCCCAAAGGTACACGTCACCCCGGGGGAGGAGGGGGGAGCGAGAGGTACCGTCTTCCCACAAAATATCAAGTCATATATCATGTGAAGCGCTTGGAGACGTCTTGGAGACATTATTATTAATATTATTTTTACCTTGATACGTCTCTCCTTCTGTGCCCGGAGATGATTTGAAAACGAGTGAGAGGATCTTGGTTGTTGGGTTGGGAGCGCGGAGAGACCGGGTAACAGAGAGAGAGTGTGCGCGGTAACTTTCCGGGGCGACGTGCGTTAGAGTAACGGTGTCTCTCTCTCTCTCTCTGCCTGTAGGCGACTCACTCGTCTGGTCTGACAAGATCGCTGTGAACTACTCCAACTGGGTCCACCAGTTGGACATCATGAGGTTAACGAGCCCCAAAACCTGCTATTGGATCAACAGTAACACCGGGGGTTGGGTGCTGGGTTCCTGCACCAACGTCACGCTGGGCATAGTCTGCAAACGGCCGAGAGGTAAAGTGAGGAGCGGCCGGGAGCCACCGGGTGGGGAAACGGTCGGAGGTTCAAGGAGGGAGGAGGGCGCCCGCACGGCGCCCAGTCTGGGGTCCACACGTGGTCTTTTCCGATGCAACGTTCGTTCCTGGAAACTTGTCGGAGCGGTCTCAGTGAGGTGCCGGCTGCGCCCCTCGGCTCCGTCGCTGGGAAGGTGGGGGGGGGGGAGTTTCTCCCAATGTCCCAGCCGACAGTCTGGATCATCCGTATCTCAGCCGAGGGCAAAGCATAAAATGGTTTCCCACGGAAACCATGATTTGCCGAGCGACGATTCGAGGCGTTTCGGTGACTCGTTCTTTGTTTTGGGGCAACTTTGTGTAAAGTCTCCCATTGTTAATCTCTCTCTCTCTCTCTCTCTCTCTCTCTCTCTCTCAGTACTAGAATCGGATTCCCCCGTTTCCAGTAAGTGAATTCTCGCTTCTTTCTCTTCAGTGCGTCGCTCACGCTGTGTTGTATGCGCTACAATTTCACGTCGGGAGGACGTCGCGAAGCACTCCACGGGATTTACTGTGAAGTGCAGTGACTGCGTATTCTTGGAGACGAACGCGAGAGCCGATTTGCGCACAGCAACGTCCAAAACTCTGGGACACTCTTCTTCCGTCCCGCCGTCTTGCCCCTTTCCTTCCCCATCTTCAGATCGCGCCTGAAGACCTTCCTCTTTGAACGTGCCTACGGTCACCTCCTCCCCCCCCCCCACCCCCCCCCCACCTCGGCTCGGCCTCCTGCTCCGGCGCTGCCCGCCCTCTGGGAAGTCACCCTGCGCGAGGGGGCGCCGTGTAAGTACAAGCTGTCGTTGTTGGCTGTGGTTGCCGTGCGTTTAAAAAGCCTTGTGTTGTGTGGTTGCAGCCGAGTTGCAGAGCCACACGTTGGACATCATCCTGTATGTGCTGGGAGCCGCGCTGCTGTTGGCCGTGCTGCTGGTATTACTCTTCCTCTACCGGAGACGGGGGGGTCACGGAGCCCGGGGGGGGGCCTTCGAGAGCGCCCGGTACAGCCGGACCACCTCGGCCCCCAGCGAGTCGCTGGAGAAAAACATTCTGGTCTCGGACATGGAGATGAACGAACAGCAGGAATGACGTTGGCCGGTTTTAGACGATCAGAATGGAAAATGCACACACTCTAGAGGTCAGCTCCAAACCACAGCAGAACTTATCCCGTATCACACTTGGCGCTGGTTCACGAGGACTTTCTTTTATACAGTACTTTTTCTCCAGCACCATGTAAATCCCCCCCTCCCCATCCCCCACTCCCTCCCTTCCTCCCTCTCCCCCCTATCTATACGCATCGATCACTGAGGGACTTCTACTTTGTTGGTGATGATCTGACCAAATGGGGAACTTTATATCCCACGCGAGTGTCCCAAAGTAACAACTGTATTATTGCCGTTTATACCAGACTGTTTATCTGTAAATGTGCACAGTTTGAGGAATAAGCCCCTCGGTGGTGGGACCTCCGGGATTTCAGTGCCGCATGTGCAGATGTTGGCCACGCTGACGTCTCCCACTTTTCAGGGGCTCTCGGAGACGGGGGGGGAGGGGGTATGGCGCTCGGAGCCTGAGGGTCTCGCGCTGTCTCGCAGAGTGAATCCACGTCAGCCTCTGCTGTTTGCTGCAAAGACAACTCTGATCCCACTCAACCATTCCCCCAACCATCCCCCCCCCCCCGGCTCAGAGCTAAGGACACAGCAGGCAGGTGGGACCAACACCCTTTACCTCTCCCCCGCACAACCCTTCTGTCATTGCTATGATTGTGGGTAACAACAGTAAGACAGCGAGGGGGGGGTGGGCTGCGGAGGGACGTCTCTCACTAGGTCACAGGGCGCATTGGGTAGGTTGATTGTCTGAAGGTGAGGCTGAGGCAGGTTAGGAGGGGTGAGAGTGTGCGGGGGTAGGGGGGGATGGGGACAAAGAATTCTGTAGTGAGAGGTGCTCGGGCACTGTTTGAGACTGCAGGGCACGGAGAGAGGATTCAGGCACCTAAAGGACCAATTGGTGAATGTGTCCCAACATTACAACATTACATTACAATTTACATCTACCCGGCCCCTTTCACGTGGAGGGGAGGGGAGGGCATCTCAAAGAGCTCAGCACTGCTGTCTGGGCACCTGAGCTGGGGGGGTGGGCGGGAGGGGATATTAGGGGAGACTGCGGAGGGAATGATGGCTCAAAGCGCGGTCAAAGAGTTAAGTCCATAAGGTAACAATCCAGTAGGTCAGAGAGAGAGGAATGTCCCACCAGCCTGCAGTGTCTGTCCTCTGTTCATCAGGCTCTCGTTGGTCGCTGGGCAAACCATGGTGACCAAACTAAGCCGGGAAACCATGGTGCTTGTTTATTAATGTGCTCACTGGCTCGGCCTCACTTTGTTCTCGTGTTTGCTGGAACTCTCTCCCTCCCCCAATAGGCTGTGGATGTTGGATCCATTCCAATTTTCAAGACTGAGGTGGATAGATGTTTGTTAGGTCAGGGTGTGAAGGGATATGGAGCAAGGGCGGGTAATTGGAGTTGAGGTATAGATCAGCCATGATCTTATAGAATGGCGTAACAGGCTCGAGGGGCTGAATGGCCTCCTCGTGTCTGTATGTTCTTGGGTCAGAGGGCACGGTGCCGGAGACCACAGTTTACATGCTGTGGCTGATGTGAGTTCTGGGACAGTCAGTCAGTCCATTGGAATCGGTCACAAAGTTTCCCCCGAGACAATCATAGAAATTCACCCAGAGTGGGGAATGACCTTAGATCGGAGGGGAGGGGGGGGTGAAAGGGGGTGAGAGTTAACCCGTTGAAAGCCGGAGCTACGGTCTTCATTTTCTGTCCGTTTCAACCGCTGTGCTTTTCGTAAGAGACCAAACAAACAAGTGAAACCGGACCCTTTGCTCAGTTTACATGGGGTCAATGAATAAAGTGGGTTGTTTTTTTTTGAGTTCACATTGTGACGAGTGCTCGTTCTGGAAATAATCCTCGTTCCTCACCGAAAGGGGTGGGAGCCGGGAACGTATATATTTATTTACACCCTCAGATCATTGCCCCCCCCCCCCCCCCCCACCCCTACCCCGACAGCAAAGGGAGCTTTTCCCACACCCGGAGTGAGAGAGACAGACAGCCGTCCGAGAACCAGTGACACGTACTGAGCTACGGTGAGAAGGTAAGTTGAGCCACAAAGGTTAATGTCAGATCGAAGTACAAATCGTACCTTACTTACTCTGTTGCTGAGAGGTTGACTGCTGGATGCGCCCCCCCCCCCCCCACCCACCCACCCACCCACGCCCTCTCTGGGGCTCAATTAGGTGCATTTCGGAACGTATTTGATGTGATGATTATCGCCTTAAACGCTGATACTTTCTCCTCCATATTACAATTTTTTTTATAAAACGCATCCAGTGGAGTAATCTGTGTGTGTGTCCTCTGTGTGTGTGTGTGTGTGTGTGTGTGTGTAACAGTCTCTGTCTCCGCCACTGTTAAGCGCTCTGGGACGCTACCCTGCATGAGGGGCACTATATAAATGCAAGTTCTTGTTGTCAGTGTGTGTGTCTTTTTCTCTCTGTGTGAGTGTGTGTCTGTGTGTGTGTCTCTCTGTGTGAGTGTGAGCGTGTCTCTGTGTGTGTGTGTGTCTCTCTCTCTGTGTGAGTGTGTCTGTGTGTGTGTGTGTGTGTGTGTCTCTCTCTCTCTGTGTGAGTGTCTCTGCGTGTGTGATGGTGGCTCCTGCCCCCGTACCCTATGTTTTCCTCTGTGTGAAGGTTTCCGAGCTGCGCCGTTCCGCAGTTCTTGTGTAGCGCGGGCGGCCCTGGTGCTGTGTGGGAGCCGCTGTGTTAATGAGCGAGGCCGTGGGGATGATTGATTGTTCACTAAGTCGATTGGCCTGTGAACTCCATGTTTTATTCCCTGTCACTTTGTTAATTGGCGACTCTGGCTTTGTTGGTGTCCCAGGGGCCCTGCTCGCCCCCCATGGGGAAACAGCGTGTGAGGGGAAAGGTCTCCACGGTAACAGGAGGAGCAGCGAGAGATATCCGAGCCGCCTGCGGTGCCACGGGAGGCGCGGGGGGGGGAGTGGGGGCGAGGGAGAGAGGAACGCGGGAGAGAAAAGCCAGGACAGTGTCCGATTGGCTCTCTCGGTATTCCCGGCCTCTCACCGGGAGCAGGAATCCCCGACAGCCTCTTTAGAACCTGGACTCGCTCCTTTGTCTGAATCAACTCCCAACTCAACCCAGAGAGCGTCAGTCAGTCCGGCTTTGCCGGGCGGGGAAGGGTCTGCTCACGTCACACTTTATCTGTGTGGTGCGCATGTGACAGTGTGCGTGTTATAGCGTGCGTGTGACAGTGTGTGTGTCTGTGTGTGCCTGTGACAGTGTGTGTGTGTCTGTGTGTGCCTGTGACAGTGTGTGTGTGACAGTGTGTGTGCGTGTGACAGTGTGTGTGCGTGTGACAGTGTGTGTGTGTGCGTGTGACAGTGTGTGTGTCGGTGCGTGTGTGTTCCTCTGTGTACGCTGTCTGGAGCGCTGAGCGACACGAACACTGATGCGCTTGGTGTACGTGGGTCGTCCAATCCCAAGGCAATCTGAGCCGCGGTCTCTCTCTGTGTGGAGCGTCCCCCCCACCCCCGGGGCTTTGTGTCTAATCTGAATGACGGTCTCGGGCTTCAGTTGCGGAATCTCGTGCCGGGGGCGCTTCAGCTGCCGGGTGCTTTCCTCCCTTTGGGGTGAAGATGTTTCTGGAAACGCTTCTTGAAGGGCGTGGCAGGGTCACGTCTCATCATCAGGGTCGTTATCTTGTCTGAATTCTCACAGGCCATGAATATTCATGAGCCAATTCTCTGTGGTCTGGCCTTTGGGGAGGTCTGTTTGTATGTGTGTCTCTCTCTCAATGATGTGTTGTGTCCTCTTGCTATCAGAATGTCACCGTCTCCCTTAGTCTCAGGACGCGGTCTGTTTCCCCCGTTAATGATAATAATCCTTTGCGACGTCTCAAAGGCGCTTCACAGAATACACTGTAAAATGAATTGACTGAATATTTTGTGGGTGAAAGGCGGCAGCCAATTGCACACAGCAGCGTCCCCACAAACAGTCGGGAATTGAGTGCCCAAATTATTATTACTTATTTTATTTTCTGAAGGGATTATTACCCCCGGACAAGCGAACGGCCAATCTTACTGCTAGGTAAACGGAGGCGTGTGGAGTAAGGAAAGTTGCCTAACATTTCGCCCGCCCGGGAAACAAACCCGGGTCCTCTCGCTTGTGAGGCAAGCGCTCTGATCGCTGAGCTACAGGACTCCGCAATCCACAATCCCAGATCTGCTGCGAGTTCCTGAAGAATCTAAATACGCTCGCCTTAGCCTCCAAAAACACACCCTTCGCTTGACAGTAATTACCGTGAGGCGCTTTGAGATGTTTTGACACAAAACAGTGGCAATAAAAATGCAAATTCTCTCCTTTCTTTCCTAGAATGTTGCCTGCTTGGCCTCTATGCTCGTCGTCCACGTGGAGTTTAGACTGTGGACCAAATGGGAGTCCCACAGCTCAGTGGTTAGAGCACTCGCCTCGCGAGGGAGAGGACCTGGGTTCGATTCCCCGGCCAGGGCGAAACGTTGGGCAAGTTTCCTTACTCCGCACGCTCGCCTCTGTTTACCAGCAGCAAGTAGGAACCCGGTTGTTAGTCAATTGGCGGATCCCTTTGTGGGGGGAATAATCCCTTCCCCCAAATAAATTGCGATGGTTTGCAGTGTTTGCAGCACGGATGGACTCTGGCAGGGACACGGACTGAGCCGCCAGGATACTGCTCCGTGTCGCTGCCCATCTTTGCTTCCAGCTCGTCACCAGGGTAACCAGGCTACAGCGTACACGTGGTATCACGAGGGAAACGCAGCAAATAGCTCATCCCAGGTTTGTTGCCTTTTCAGTTAACACAAACTAGCCCGACATCTCTCCAAAGGGGCTGCTTCCATAGCAACCCTGGAGAAAAGACTCTTTCTTTCTCTCTTTCTCTTCTCTCTTTTTCTGTCTTTTTCTCCGTCTCACACACACACACTCCAGAACTGACTGGCAGCCCAGACTGTGAGCTCAAACGACCAGACTCGATCGAGACCCGATGTTGGGGCTTGAACCTTCTGACTAACTCGGGGGGGCTTGAACCCAGACCTTCTGACCCGGAGGTGACGGTGCTCCTCACTGAGCCGAGGTTGGCCATCGTAAAGAGAGCGATACCTACCCGACTGTTAAAAACAAAAGGTCTCAGGGCAAACCTCCTGCACTAATAAAGGTCATAGACAGGAGTCGGGTGTGGGTCCCTGAGGGGTTGTTCCCGTGTAGCAGTTCAGGTGAAATTGCTTGAGGAGGAAAACCTCCCATCCATCAGCTGATCGCTGACGTTGTGGGTTTCGACTCTTTGACAGGGTCGCTGACAAAAGACGTGTAGCGAAAGGTGAAGAGTCCTGGGACCGGGGGTAAAGTGGCAAATTGGATAGAGAATTGGATTAACAACAAAACGCCGGTTGGTGGGGGAACGGGAGTCATAAATGGGAACAGTTCAAGCTGCGCACTGGTGACTGATCACCTCCCACAGGGATCGGTGCAAACCACCAGCTCTGCTATTCATAATATTTCCTCATGATTTGACAAATGGAGATGGTGGTCGGGGGGCGGGGGTTTTGAGAGAGAAAGAGGGCTTCATTTTCTGACCCCGGGGGAGACGTTGTCAAAAGGAAAACATTTTACCACCTTTTGACCCGATCTGAAAATCGTCCCAATTTTCCCGATTGGAATGCAGTTGAGTGTGGAAACTCCAAATCCAATTTGACCTGTGTTAACGGGAGGAGGAAAGCTTCCCTGAACTTTTCTCCACAAGTACTGGAGCTTAGTGGAGTCCTGTATGTGAACGGCACTCTATAAATAGTAATAATCCTTGTATTTAATACAGCGCCTTATCACGTCTTCGAGACATCTCAAAGCGCTTCACAGGATATCCTGCAAAGTGAATTGACGGGATATTTTGTGGGCGAACGTAATTTGATGTATTTAAGCATCACCGGCCTCTTGCCAGCCAGGCACTTAGTCAATATTAAAATGAGCGAGTGATTGAA